GTGAGCACTGCTCGCCCCAGTTTACTGCCGGTACACCAGTCTTCTTGTAGTGAGCACTGAACGCCCCAGTTCGATGTTCGTTCACCAGTCTTCTTGTAGTGAGCACTGCTCAGCCCAGTTTATTGCTGGTTTACCAGCCTTCTTATAGTAAGCACTGCTTGCCTCGGTTCGATGTTCGTTCACTATGCAGGATATTTTAAGTCATTCCTATAAATAAACAGAGGGGGGAACCATTTGAGGCCGTTAAATATTATGAATTAATCAAGTAACAGAAAGTTTTGTGAACGGCACTCATAGAAAGAAGTATAAAGATAGAAGAACACACTAGACAACATAAAAATCGAAAGCTATAGTTACCGTGCCGGGAATTGAACCTGTCACCTCCAGACGGCGTCTGCGCCTCGCCATGAATACAAGTGCACTAAGAACATGGTGCCTAGTTGATAGTCTTCCATCTGATGTTATCCATGTGCCCAGATACTTAAATTTCCTTACTTGTTCCAAAATAAAACCATTGACTTTTATTACACATTTAGGAGTAATTATTTTCTTTGATACCACCATTACTTCTGTCTTCTCACTATTTAAACTGAGGCCCATTCTTCCACTTTCGTGTATAAAATAGATCTAAAAAGAAAACACCCATAATGTCAAATGTACGCTGACATTTTACTTCACAAAATGTAGAACAGAATAGTAAACATTTAAATACATTTCATGTTTTGCATTCTTCAGTCAGTCAGTCTGTGGTAAGTAATACATAGGAGTGAAAGTATTCTTAGTTTTATAATAAGTAACTAAACTTGTAAATTGTCACTGACAGTTTAATTAACCCATGAAAGCGGCATTAGCTTTCCACACACAGACACACACACACACACACACACGATGTACAATGTTTGAGAACAGCTGACCTAGGCACCACTTTAAAAAAAAAAAAGGGGGGGGGACACATTCAATTTTTTTTTAAGTGGCATCTACTCATCTGGAGGAACCATAATGAGATTCATTTAAAAAAAAAAAAAGAAAGTTAGAAGGGCGCCACCCTACAAAGAAATAAACATTTACCTCTGTTCAGCACGAAAGACGAAAGAAACGAATGGCTGGTGAGAATTAAATGGAGAAAGAGGAAATCGATCGGGTAAAGAATACAACACTAGACCGTCTACACTCAACAGGCGATGTAGAGAAGATAATCCTGTTGCTGTTAATGCAGAGGTCAACGTTCTCATCGGTGAAAATTCAGACGAAGCAGACGCAATAATCTATACAGACGGATCCGTTATACGCCTAAGAAGAAGCGCATGGGCATTTACAGCACGCTCAGCGGGCATAACAGTCAAAGAAGCCAACGGCATTACAATACATAAATCGACATAGCCTTTTGCAAGATGGAAAACATTTACAATTAGAAAGCTGTGAAATGTAGCCAGACACCGCCAGAAGCAGACAAAAAATTGACAAAGTGACCAAGCTGAGTCCAGCCCCCTGTCTGATCGGCAGGCGAGTGTCTAGCCGCTAGACCAGCGGCTCCCTCCTGAAACAGCAGCATCCAGTAAATGTTGAAGCTGTTTCAATGTCTGTCATCTACATATTATAATACATTGAGATTTGTTCTAATTTTAAGCAAATCTCTTTCATTTAGTTAGAACTAACATAATAAGCTGTTATTTCAAAAGATCTCTTCTGCCTTTCTAGTCCGTAATGAAGGATGGGCCCTCAACAAACTTACGCCAAGTTGTTCTACCCTTCGCTATCTCATGTAGCTCTCCCCACCCTTTTAACTTCACTCTTTAGCTCCTTTCTCCATGTGTTGTTTAATCTTCCTTTATTCTATGCCTCTGTGGGTTCCAGTGCAAAGACATACTAGAAGCCATGGCAGCTTCATAATGTAAACATTCATCTTCTTCTTTTGCCTTTTATCTCCTAGTGGAGTATGGCTCTCAAACTACTCACACAAAGTAACCTTGCTCTAGTTCCTTTTTCCATGTTGTTATTTCTATACTCCATTTGGCACCACTCTACAGAAGACATTTTAGTTATGCTGTTCTCAGGTTTTCTGAATGTGTGTCTTATCCAACATGTATTTTTTCTTCACTTTTTAATTATTGGAATTTGTTTTAGTCCTATCCCACTAACCAAGTCAGTGATTTCATATGTTAAAGGCAATCACACGAACCTCGTTTCTCTAGTCCAACGTGCCCATGATGATTATGACAAATGAATAACACACACAAATAAACAAGAAATGAATTGAACAAACATCACACACAAATAGGAAATGAACTGAACAAACATCTGCAAATTATAACATAACTTTAATTATGTCCATTAATCTAAAGACACCAAAAATATATGAACCTGTCTAGTCTTGTCTGCTCACCTTTAAACTAGCAGAACTGTCTTTTTCCTTGTGCTGGTTCAGACCTTGCCTCAATGTGTTATGCAAAACTAGTTATGTCCTGGAACTAGACGTTTTCTGCTGGCTTATGTGAGGCTGTCATTGTAAGATCCATCTGCTCTTTGGTCTTCCCAGGGCTTGATTATGTATTCTTTTATGTTCTACAGTTGTAGGCACAAAAAAGGCAACTTTGTTGGCTTCCTTCTCATCCAATGATCAAACCATTATGTTTCTCCACGTTTCTATTTCTGTGATGTCATTATCTTTTTGTCGCTGTAGGTCAAATATTTTTTACCAACAACGTAAAATGTTACTTAAAACCATTTTAAAACTAATTAAAATGAATGAAGAACTGACATTACTGCACTGGAGAAGTTCCCACATGTACTCCGTTTCCCTTTTCAGTAACCAACCAAGAGTTGACATGCTAATAGTACTAGTTGCAACCTGTTTCAACATCAGTGATGAATTTCTTCCAAAACCTCTACTCACTCCCCATTAAGTTAGTCTTTCAGTGTATGGATTCACTGTCTGTTCTACTGAACTGCCTAATTGATCATGGGGAGCCTTTACCACATCTACTTTATCTAAATGGAGTTTACAGCCCGGAGGAGTGGCAGCAGCTAAACTATCAGCCTGCTTATTGCCCAGCACACCTGAATTTCATGGACAGAAAATCTATTATATGCTCCTGAACTGAGTCTTTTTAAGTGATGCAGGCAACTCTACGCTAGGACGCCAGCTTTAATTTTGTGAAGCATGCTCTGTGGGTACTTTACAATTACAACCTGCTGGGCAGAGCTGCTCTTAAGCCATTGGAAAACTGTTACTGCCCACACCTCCATTGTCATAATGGAGAATTTACTACCTAAACTTTGCTAATACAATTTGTCGTCTGTTCAAACATAAACCAACACAAAGTAGTCTTGGTCAGGTAAACACATTCTTTCAAAGGTTTATGTGGGAATTATAAAAATATACAAAAGTAGCCTAAATTTTGTATTATGTAAGCTTTTACTGGCAGCTAATCAGGTTTCATTCTAAGATCTCCAAACCATTATATTTGTTTTCTCTTACCAACTATGGTGAATGATGTTATGCTTTCTCTGATTGATCTATCTCTTCATTTTTATCAACAAAACAAAGATATCTAGAAAAAAGTGCCAGCATATGGCTTTCAGGATATTTACCTGATTGGTGGCATATAATGAAATTCTTACTTTGGCAATTATTATGTGATGATTCCTTGGTACAGAACGTGTTTGACAAAGGGGCTGTATAAATACAGTCCAAAACATGTGCAGGTAGCAGCATATGTTCATTATATCATAGAGCACAGAAATCAGTCATTTACTTATATTTAATTCATTTACTTATATTTAATTCATTCACACTGGTAAATTAGCCCTAATCAATGGCAGTGCAATATCATCAAAATACTACACACATGAAACAATACCATTTTAATTTGATAAAATGTTATAACAGTATGCCTAAAAGACTAGCCTTTCTAACATACAGAAGATAGCTCAAACAGATGCATTCTGATACAAATGATTGAATCATGGTTACAGTAATCAGCAACTGATGCAAAACATCAACATTTGCACCATAACATCACTCTCAGTCATCACAACACATATGGACAATTCTTGATCATTTGTCAGCTCCCCTGACATGCCCTGGATGTCTTTAATGTCCTGAGTCCACTGTATGGTGACCAACACCTGGCTCCTCTTCCAGAAACCAAGCTTTCCACTGTTGTTCTATTGAAATCCCTAGAGTATTTAGTGTAGCCAAGATATTTCAATTCGAAGACAGTTTCGGTTATGAGTGAATTTTCTTCAGTTTTCAGATATTGTAAAACCATATTTTCTTCATCTTCATTCATTTCCGAACTATAAAAAATATATTATCATATTATCACCATAGTATTTAGTATTTCTGTTTAATTATAAGTCATAGAAGCATAGAAAGCCTAAGTCATAGTAGCAGGGAAAGCTTGTCATCAAATTTAAGCTTCATTATGATTATGGGTATGTAACATCTGGCAACAATTTCCAGGGGTCTCTCTCCTAAGGTGAGTTATGATGATACATCTATCCTCAGTTGTGATGATACATTTCTCCTGAGTTATGATGATATATTTCTCTGAGTCATGATGATACATCTCTCCTGAGTTGTGATGATACATTTCTCTGAGTGAGTTATGATGATACATCTCTCCTGAGTTGTGATGACACATTTCTCTGAGTCATGATGATACATCTCTCCTGAGTTGCGATGATACATTTCCCTGAGTGAGTTATGATGATACATCTCTCCTGAGTTGTGATGATACATTTCTCTGAGTGAGTTATGATGATACATCTCTCCTGAGTTGTGATGCTGCCAGGCTGTAAGCTGTCCATGTCTTGATTCTGTTTGCGCGTGCATATTTGACAAAGTCTTTTCCTTTTAAATCTTCTATAAACTATCATTTTCAGCAGAGTGTTGTCTTTTGATGTGATTCATGGTATCTGATGTTTTGTCTGCCAACAGTGCCTATTTATGTGTTATTCTAAAATTAATTTTCTAGGAATTATAAAACAAGTTTCTATCACACATTTTCTTTGGCTTCCAGGTTCACTTTGATGCCAATACTGGCCAACTCTGCCACCAGATACCGAAAGACATATGGGACAGAAATTTGTTGTATGGCATCCCTATTTTGGCAGTGCTGGCAGATGGTTTGACGGCAGAACCTTGTTCCTTGGCTTTTGTCCTCCCCGTCCTCAGACTGCTGCACCAGTAATGGAGAAAGTATCGTCTTACATGCAGTGCAGATAAAAGTCTGAAATTCCAAAAAAAATTAATTTTTTAAAAAGGTAACAGAAATATAATTAGAATTTAATCAAATCCATCAGCCTACTGTGTTCACTTGTTTATTAGATGAACAATTCTTTCTCTTAATGTTTTTCTTCTAATGTTTGTACATGTGCAAGTCAATTAAGGTTATACTTCTAAAAACTGACAATTTGTAGAAATGAGCTCAGAAGCATTTGAAAAGGAAAGGAAATCTAAAGAACTGTAATACAACAAAGTTTTTATAACAGGAAATTACAATACAGGATAATGAGTTTCTCTTGTTCAATCTTTAGATGCCTGATTTGGATTAGACAGTGATGTGTCATGACTTTTCACTCCTCTCTGTTACTTGTTTTTTTTTTTAACTGATAAAGCGTATGATTATTGTTGCCCAACACTTTGTCCTTCTTTGTTCCTACTGACTAGTATTTCCCATTTACACATCATCAAATATCAGGTTCTTTGCAGAACGTCGCTCTCATCACAGTCTGCCTGAAAGAAACTCAGTCTCTCACCAGCTCTCCCGTCATTTACACCTAAACAATTAATTTCTCCAATCCACCTGTTTTACTGATCTTCTTCTTTACGGCCTCTTTTACCGCTTCGGGTATCGAGGGAGATATACGGTCCTGCTTCATGCTGTTCTGGCTGCTTCAATCACAGACACACTGTTGTGCTGTAGAGTTTTTCTGATGTTATCTCCCCATTTTGATCTTGATTTACCTCTTGCTCTACGCCCTTCTATTTTAGTATATTGCCTTGTATGGTTTTACTATGCCCTACAAATTTAATGTCTTATCCTTAGAAGTTCTGCTGAATCATTTTGTCACAGGCAGCCGTCACTCTGCTGAGAATACTCTCAACATTCTTCTCAAAACCACATCTTCACTGCCTCCAGTTCTCCATTATCATTACTCGTTATCCATGAACTGTGTCTACTGGATTTATTTCATAATTATTAGTCTTGTTGAACTACTAATGCAAACTTCAATTTTATTATTTGTGGTCACAAATGCAGGCATTTGTGAAAGATAAATTTACTTGTCTTTAAATGTGAAATAAATTTTTGCTTGAAAATGCACGGAACTCACTTCTTGTAAAATTGAGGAAAAAAAACTGTACTACTGCAATCATTAATTTGTTTCCAAAATCATAAAATAATCTCTTCACTTTTTAAAATGCTTTTATCAGCTACAAATTTCAGTGGAAATTCTGGCTGTTGTCCACTTCTGGACTTAAAGTCTTGTTCCAGAACTTGACTTCTGCGTGCACATCCATTTTACAGATGGGGCTTATATGTGTGTAGACTGTTGGTTACAAATTCTCAGGCAGACCCACTCAAAGGCAACATCTTGATTAGTCGATTTTATACTTCTTAGGGGACCAGTGGCTTTATCACCTTCCCACATGCGGGAGAAATCATAAAATTAAAAGGCTGAAAAATTAATTTCGAACAATATGTAGGCTCTGTATAGATACAACAAAAAATGTAATATACAATATCATAAACAGACAACCCCCCCCCCCCCCCCAAATCTATCTATACTGACCTTGGATTTATCAGAACAGTTAAACAACCTATCCTGCAACAAGAAACTCGTCCCATGGGCAATAAGAGCATCACGCTCCATCTCACCAAAACGAATACCACCAGCTCGTTTCCTGCCCTTGACCGGCTGCTGTGTCACTTGGTCTACAGGACCTGTGGTTCTCACCTGCATATAACAGAAAAATTAGACATATTTCCTGGCTTTCTTCTCTTGTGTTTAATTTTATGTGTCATTTTAATGTATAGGTGTTTTTTTTTAAAACCGTGTAACAATGACTTTTTTAGTGATTAGTGATTATCATCACAGCATTCCATAAGTGCTCTGATCTCAAAAGCTCAAGAGCATTATATAGCTGATGATGCCTGTTCAGTGATGATGTATTAAATATCTTGCCTCCTTAGTGAATAGTTTATTCCTTGCAAGCTCTTGGCTGCATCCGCTTTGCCCTATTCTCTTCATGATATGTCTGCACATGGCATTGATGTAGCTCCTGGCCAGTACCCAACCAGCCATAGCAACCGCTGTGTCTGCGAAATATCTGCATGCTTGTTGCCTCGAACCCCTGCATGACCTGGTACAAAGAGGAATGTTAGGCCAGCCATTTGCGAAGTGCTCACTGTTGCAATCCATTCTTGTCTGATGAGCCTAGCCTGAATTGTCTTAAGCATGTTCATGGAGTCGCTAAATATGTATATGTGTGTGAACTCTTGAGTACCAAGCCATGTTAATGCCCTTGTTACAGCCAGTTTCCATTATAAGGCTACTAGTTTTAACAGGGAAAAAAAGACTGTTCTAACAAGATGGCATTATTTATGTCGAATTTTCTTATTCTGCTTATCATTTCCCAAAGAAGCAAAACACCTCAATCTACTGAAACCCAGCTCTTTATGAGACTTATGCCTGATCAGATCTTGTAATTTTCTACTGGTCAAAGTAGTGAGTTTCATGCAAACCCTCCTTAATCATAAATTATATACATGGTAAATTACTGCATTACTGTTCACTAATTGTGCCTAAGTGATCATTTACTTTGTACACTCTAATGCCCTGATAGATGAGCAATCAACGACAATCTAATTCTCTGATAAATCAGGAATGTACAAACTGCCATTACTGCCTGTATCTACCTCTATTGTAGTGTAGGCAGGAGAGAATAAGCAATCTTATGATAATCGAATTCTCTAACAAATAAGTAATCTACCACAATCTTATTCTATAAAAGGTGAGCAATCAACCACAATCTATTTCTCTGATAAATAAGGAATGTATAAACTGCCATTACTGCCTGTATCTACCACTATTGTGGTGTAGGCAGGAGGTAATAAGCAATAAACGACAATCTAATTCTCTGACAATAAGTAATCTACCACAATCTTATTCTATGAAAGGTGAGCAATCAATGACAATCTAATTCCCTGCTAGATGATAAATCTAGTTTTGTGAGAGTAAGCAATGAAAATCTAATTCTATAATAGACGAGCAATGACAACTGAATTCCCTGACACATAACAAATGACATCCTAGATTTCAGAGAGATGAGCAATTACTAGTGAAGTCCCTGTTATATACACAATAACAACTTAGATTTGTGAGAGATGAGCAATGACAATCAAATTCTCTGACAAATGAGCAATGAAAATCTAATTCCCAGACAGATGAAAAATGACAACTGAATTCCCTGACAGAAGAAAAATGACAACTGAATTCCCAGACAGATGAAAAATGACAACTGAATTCCCTGATAGAAGAAAAATGGCAATCGAATTCCCAGACAGATGAAAAACAACAACTGAATTCCCTGATAGAAGAAAAATGGCAATCTAATTCCCAGACAGATGAAAAACGACAATCTAATTCACTCACCTGGAACTTGTCTGAAACCATGTGCCTCAGCCTCTGGTAGTAAACAACCCCAAAGTAAATGTCAGCTTCCAGTTCCTGGCCTGTTATTCCACTGTACAGTCGTTCTGTGCCGTAGTAGTTGTAGCCACCTAGCGAGCAACAGTTTAAAGAAGGAGAGGAATTGTATTTAAAACAATCCACTTGTGGGCCCTATTATAGGGAAAACAAGATCAGACCCACTGCATGCACAAAAGCATGTCATAAGAGTCGACTAATTGGGGGGGAGGGGCGCTTCGTTTAAAGTCAGAGAGCATCTGCCTGAGAGGCAAGGAACAAATAGTCTGCATACAGACTGAGAGGCAAAGAACAAACAGTCTGCATATAGATAAGTCAGATCTATAAAATGGATGCACATTTAACACTCAGGCTCTGGAATAGGACTACAGTCCAGAAGTGGAAAATAAAGCCACTAAAATTGTGCTACGCAGTTCTTCAAGAACTGATTATATCTTTAATGCATGCTTGGCTAATTCTACAATATTATTCCAAACAGGATCAGTTTTATTCCCAACACAACTTTATTCACGGTACGGCTCAATGTTATATGGCACTTATCAATTTTACTCTCTTATGATACACGTTTATTCTAAATGAATATAAGGTGAAAAGTTTTGCACAGAATGAGTTAACAAAATAAAGTGTCTGATATCATCTGAATTTTTCTGAAAGAAGCTACAACAAAGTAAGCTAGACCAAATGTGGCAAAAATGGAACTGTGAAATTAATTATGTAAAATGTGCAAGTGTGAAATTAAATGTGAAAGTGACCAAACTGTACTGAAGGATTTTCTAATGAATCGCTAGACATATCATGCTTTCAATTCTTTTTTTCTAACTAGGATAAAAGTCCAATTTGAAAACACAATTCATTCAAAAAGTCAACATCAACAAAACAGAGAAAAAAATAAGGACTTTTCAATCTTGGAAAGCTCAACAGACAATGAATTAAATATTACTACTATAATGATCAGGGAGTCACTGTGGCATTAGCGGCTAGATGCACACCTGCGGATAAGAAGGTCGTGGGTTCGCGTCCTGATGGAGCTGGACTTTTTTTCTCCAAAAATTACCTTGACTCCTAATTCAACCCACCTTTAAGCGAGTACCAGGTGCAGTCCTGGGAAGTAAAGGCGCCGATTGGTCTATAAAAATATAGGTCTAGCCCTATATTCTCAATACGCCTAAAGCTGTGGAAAAAGGACCTTTACTATCTTGATCAAGCAAAACAAGTGATCCTGTTCTGCATCAAACAGGATATCAAATGAATAGCAAACTGCTATTTACAACCACTTGTACATCATACATCTGTCAATGAATTACACATGGAAAGAATCCTCCAGCAAATTTAAAATAGAATAATGGGCTTTTTGGGTACTTTGGGATTAGATGGCCTTGGTGTCGACAAGAAACCCAGCTGACAATTGTAGGACAGATCCAAGAGAAAAACATTTGACTGCTCTAATTTCCAGATTATACTATCTATTAAACATTTTGTATGTAGATGTGTGGTATCACTGGTTGTTTATGTCTAGCAGATTGAAAAAAAAATAAAAAGTTCATATCAACATCTTCCCTGTGGGCTGCAGGGCACCATTTTAGGGGGAACAAGAACAGATTCATGACCAACAAGCAGGTCATAAAAGTAGACTATTTAGGGGAGTTTCCTTTGAAGTCAGAGTGCATCTGCCTGAGATCTGTAAAATGGATGTGGCACACAAAACTCAAGTTCTGGAACAAAACTAAAGTCCAGAAGTGGACAAACAGCCAGAGCTTTGCACTAGAGTTTTCAGTCAGTGAACACAATAAAGAAGAAGAAGATTATTTCAATTCTTGACTTTTATTAGCAAGGAATCATTTATACAAACTTTCCCTTCAGATATTCCTTGAAGACTGCCAGCCACTGATGAAACATTTTCCACTTTCAATATTCCGGTGCTAGGAAGTTCGTGCACTGCGCCAAGATTCTTCTGACTCAGGCTTGCGTTAGAAGTAGAATGGAGCACTTATGGGTTACTACCCTAGTGCCATGATGTTGATCCGTTGTTTGAACCTTAAACCACCTTCAATATTCCCAGCTCCAGACTGCTAAGGTTTTTAATTTTATCTCTGTCAGATCAAAACCCCCAAACACACGACAATTGTATGAGCTGTGAACCATTCCAGAAGCAATGGAAAAACTACTGAACAGGAAACCTGACTGCTTAAAAAAACAACAACTAACAAACATGGAGTTTGGTCTGTGACATCATTAAAAGGATAGGCAACTCTTACCTGCTGTCAACATCTGACCAAAATAATCTATAGCTGGCTGACTTTCTGAGAACGTGAATGGAGTGGCGTCTAGATATAAGCCATGAAGTGCTCCAGCCTTGCCTGCCATGCTTTCAATCATCATACCTGTAGAGATTTGCACCATGAACATCAGCATCCAGACAGTGATTAATTAATGAATGCATTCCATTTTCAAAATGCCTGTAATTCATACTAGATTTTCTAAATTAGTGCACTTCCATTTTTTTCTTCTTCTGCATTTACCTTTAAAAGGATGGTTGGGACGTTATTTTGTGGTCTACAGCCAGGTTGCAATATCTGCATCTTTTAGCCCAATACTTCTGATTTAGGGAAACTCTTAAGTCCTCTTCACAACTGAATATACTGGTTAGGGGATGGTGGGTCCATTCTACCCCCCCCCCCCCCCCCTCCCTAACACTTAAAATAACTCTGCAGTTGTTGCTGAAGATGGGGATGGAGAACTTATGGAAATGTCCCTGGTGCTGCGATATTGTTTTCTTATTCAACATATCACCACCCCCTACCCCCCCCCCCCTCCCCCCAAATAAAGTCCCAGAAACATGAGGAATTAATGCACTACATTTACCAAAAACAATAATTAATAATATATGTATGCTGATCGTCATGGACAAAGCTTTGCTTTATGTGACGCTACTGGCAGGTGGCTAAAATGAAGCATCTGGGATAATATTAGGTACCGTGAAGTCAATTTTTCTGACTTTAAACTTATTCAATGACAAAAAAAAAAAAAAAAAAAAAAAAAAACTGAAGACTCACCAATTGTCATTCTAGATGGGAATCCGTGAGGGTTGAAAATGATATCTGGGACCATTCCACTTTCTGTAAATGGCATGTCTGTTGTTGGCCACAGCATACTGGAAAAGTGTGAAAAGAGACAAAGTTAAAATTCACCAAGTCATCATCAAGTGTCTTGCCGACTGGCATGGGTGATCATGGTTATCCACAATCTGTGATCTTCAACAGCATGTATCAGTTCTATGTTTTGATACCCCTTCCTGTGCGTGTGTTGTCCAGCAAGATGATGATGGCCACTCTTTTTCATCAAGTATGAGTATCAAGATGATTGATAAGGCCGATGTGGGCCTGAAAAATTCATGGACAGTGGGGACAGGGAATGAGTGTTGTGCTTGAGAGGGGATCTCCTGCAGTCGACTTTCTGACCATCCTTTTCTTAACCAGTCTTGCTGTTCTGTTTGCTCCACATTTAGCCGCGCCTTTGTGTAGAGTTGCATGCCATGCATTTCTAGTTTCCTTCTTCTCATAACATTTAGCCGCGCCTTTGTGTAGAGTTGCATGCCATGCATTTCTAGTTTCCTTCTTTTCATAACATTTAGCCGCGCCTTTGTGTAGAGTTGCATGCCATGCATTTCTAGTTTCCTTCTTTTCATAACATTTAGCCGCGCCTTTGTGTAGAGTTGCATGCCATGCATTTCTAGTTTCCTTCTTCTCATAACAGTTAGCCGCGCCTTTTTGTAGAGTTGCATGCCATGCATTTCTAGTTTCCTTCTTTTCATAACATGACCAAAGAAGTAAGTCTTTCTCTGATTATTGTGATAGGTTGTTTTCGGGCCTTCGCCCCTTTCGGGCCTTCGCCCCTTTCGGGCCTTCGCCCCTTTCGGGCCTTCGCCCCTTTCGGGCCTTCGCCCCTTTCGGGCCTTCGCCCCTTTCGGGCCTTCGCCCCTTTCGGGCCTTCGCCCCTTTCGGGCCTTCGCCCCTTTCGGGCCTTCGCCCTGGGTTGCTCTTTTTTTTTTTTGGGTGTCAAGAAATTCTCAAGATTCTTCTGTAAAACCAAAATTCTTCAGCCTCAAGAAACTGTTTGGCTTGTTCATTAATTGTCCAGAGAAGCACACTGTTAGAACAATAATGACACAAATTCATACTGCAACTGTGTGATGGCGCCATATCCACAAGAATATAAGTAGTGAATAGACATTTTTTTAAAATAAATACCGGTATCAACGTGCTTCTGACCCTGTTAGTTTCTGTTTTTTTATGGGAAAATGTCAGTTATTTGAGTAATTGGAAAGTAGTCCTTAGTTTACAAATAAGGAACAAAATCAAATGCATTTGAAAACAAATGCCAGAAGACACTAATGAAAATTAAATGGGGAGAACTAAGAAAAAAAAGGCTAAGAAATCAGATAAATGTCTGAACAACTAATTGTAATAACAGTTGTAAGACAAAGATGGTATCTATTCCGTGGAGAATAGGACATAAAATCACCAAACAGATTTTAAAACTGCAAACAAATGGACTGAGGAAGTTAAGAGTGGAAAACATACTGTGAGTTCTATGTTATTTAAACAGCACAAGAATATGATAACAACGAAGCAACACAACAAAACTTATCCTAGACTGGAATCAGAGGTGGCCAATCTTAGCCAGAAACATCTGTTAACTCACAGATGTAAAGTAACATTGTCAAGATAAGGTAAGGCATTTGACAACATTAAAATAAATTGAAAGTTATATAGGTGTGTGGTCTGCCAAAGTACACTGGTTTCTTCAGTGAAACTAACATCATTTGAAAACAGCAGATTTCAACACCTGAAATGATTTTTAATATATATAGCCCAATGTGTCCTGAGCTCACAACCTCTTCTTTACTTCGATGCATTCCAACTAATACAACTGAACCTATTTTGAATTTTTTTCCTCATAAATTAACAACATTTCCTCAGTTTCTCCTGTGTTGATAATTCTTTTATAACATACTTCACTTCACAGCTAATTAAACATGATCCATTTACAGTTAACAATTATAAATCTATATATAAATGAAACAGGTAAAGCAAACATTTAAATTAAATAAATAGCATGTCAATGATGCTTACCTGCAAATGCCTTTCTGTCCGTGACGACTAGAAAATTTGTCTCCTATTGTAGGATTTCTCTAGTGAAAAGAAAATGTTCAGCATGACTAAAACAAGCAGGACAAATTACCTGATATTTTTAGATGCATTGTAATCAATTTTTTTAAACATGTTTCTGGAAAAGTCCTTTGTATCCACACTTATCTCATAACCTGATGAACTGATGATGTATGGCAAATGCAAAATAGGTTTAGAAATATATGAGTGTATAGCAACTACAATAGTAGTTATGAAACAGAAAAGTGACATTATTAGAAGTGTATTTAGGGAAAGAAAAGCATAAAAATTGGCTCACCGTTGCAATGGTTTTAAACCAACTTTGCAAACAGTTTAACAAAATGGGATTTACTTTATAATTCCAGATTTGGGCTATCTTCCGAATAACAGTCCCAAATTACAGAGGCAGAAAATATACCCTAATAGGGACTCAGTCACGTGACAACTGCGTACTTCCGGGGACTATACCGCCGCCGCCGAATTGCAAACTTCTGGCACCGCCGAGAGTATTCCCCATGGCGCTCATGCGGCGTGAATTGGGGCTAAACTAGATGGCTAGGACCCACGAGCAAATAAAATTAAGGCAGCTGCTGGAAATGCGGTAGCTGCTGCTCATGAGTCCCAGCCATCTAGTTTAGCCCCAATCCACGCCACATGAGCGGCGTGGGGGATACTCTCGGCGGTGGCGGAAGTCGCCGGAAGTGCACAATGTAAGTCGCCGGAAGTGTGCAATTGTCACGTGACTGAGGCCCTGTTAGGGTACATTTTCTGCCTCGATAATTTGGGACCAGATTTGTTCATCGCCATTGTAATAATAATGTTCATAACACTGAATTTCTTTTCTTGCATTTTTTTCCTTCCTTGTACAGGCAACAGGTCAATGCTGCAACTTAAAATGTGGGGGGGGGGGGGGGGCAATGCAATTAACACGTTGCAGCCAACCAGTGATATATTTTATATGCATTTCAATCTATTTTATTTACATATCAATATTTAACTGTAAAAAGTGACAAAATGTGTTTGTTAGTCAAATCATGAGGATAATACACTGAAGACTCATATATACTACACTCACCGTTACTCTCAGCATAATGCAGACATGGTTCATTTGCTCAGAACCAATTTCCTCCCCTAACAGTTTTATTTGTAGAACAGCAACATCTTCCAGTCCCTTGTAACAGACAACAGTTTGCTCACCAGTACTCAAATTTCTGTAGCTGATGTAGATAGAACACATAAAGACTCATTGTGTGCAACAGGATATACAGGCAAGTCTGACAATGCTCAAGATGTCATATAATTATCTGCTATGGACTGTCATATGTAAGAAAAGCTATAGAATTGTTCAATTAATTTCCATTTGCTTTAATTTAACAATAAGAAAAGCTATAGAACTTTTCAACTAATTTCCATTTACTTAAATTAAACAATTATCTTTGCTGATAACAATAACATAATTTACAAAGTAAAAATCTGTGTCTGGGAAAAGACGTTTATGTTTTGCTCAAATGTTGAGTATGAGAGAGTGACAAGTCATATCTATAGGTAGGAAGCATTTATTTACCCAGGTATTTTGTTTATAAAAAATAGCTGGCGATTTCATGCGATAGTGTGGTGCCAGGTGGCACAGCTGTTGATTTTTTTCTGTTGTCTTTGTGGCAAACTACATAAGCTTCAGAGGGTCATGACTCAAGTGCAAGTCAGTCCAGCCTCAAAATAGGCAGCATCAGGTTTTCTTTCAAGTAAAGAAGGCCATGGCAACTGTGATCACTCCATCCATTAACTATTTTGCCCAGAGAGGCCACTAACTGACACTTCTGCTCGCCATCATCAGGTGCCCTGCCAACTGACGTAGGCATTCATGCATGTCCACATATCTTGGTCCCTTGTCCTCTGGATCATCAGTTTCACTGATGATATCCCTCCATCACCATCTCTCGGTATGCCCAGGGTTCATAGCCAAATTTACCAATCAATTTCAAGGCTTTTCAAGGTCTTTTTCAAGGTCTCCTTAGTTTTTTTCAAGGTTGTCTCGGTGTAATACTAATACAAGATTTTTGCCTTGTTCAAGGGTGTACTGAGCACACAAGGTACTTCATTTGTGCCACATGTGTTGGTATACCAGCACAGATATCATCATCATGTAGCATTTCCTTTATCCTGACAAAAAAAAACTCGGTCTCTCACCAGCTCTCCCGCCTCATGTACTTTTTTATACTCAAGGAGTCACTTATATCCTGTGTCCATCTTCGTGTTGGTCGGCCCCTGAGCTTGATATAGTGTTTGAAATTTTTTTTAGGGCTTGGTGGTAGAGGGCAGCAAACTGAAGTCCTGTCTGTTCTGGACCTGGTACCTGAGAGGGTTAGGGGAGAGAGAGAGAGTCATGAAGAGAGAGGAAGACACATGCTGAGGTAGGCTGGGAGAGACAGTGTAAAGATGGACAGATGAAGGTAGAGAAAAGAAGGAAAAGAAGTCTGGGGAAGGAGGAAAAAATGAGAGGGAGGGATGGAGACATGATGAGGAAAAAGTGGGGAGGGACAGCGAAAGACAGAGAGGGAGACAAATACAGAAAGAGGGAATGCAGATACAGAGATGGGCAGATGAAAAGAGAAGGAAAAAGGGAACGAAACAGAGATATGGAAGGAGGAAAATATGACAAAGAGTTGAAAGAAGGGAGACAGAGGGAGAGAGAACGGACAGGGTGAGAAGCAGATGCAAGCAGAGAGAGATGTAGACATAAAGGGACAGCACAGAGAGGCAAGCAGACAGAGGGAGAGAACCAAAGAAAGAGAAAAAAGGCAGAGCAGGAGAATGGGAGGGAGGTATACAAAGAGGAAGTGATGAAGGGAGGCAAACAGACATAAAGCAAGAGAGAGAGAGAGAGAAAGGTGGGTAAGGAAGGCAGTGACAAACACAGATTAAGAGAGGGGGGAAGGAAGGGAGACAAGATACCTCAAAGAAAAAAACAGCCCCCCCCCCCCCCCCCCCCCCACACAATTTCAAGTGTAGTGGACACAACCACTAGGAAAAGATAGTTATGGGGCAAAAAAATATGTAGATGAACCAGGTAAAAAAAAAATGGGGGGGGGGGGGGGAGAGAATGAGAGAGGGGAGCGGGTAAGGAAATCTAGAGAAAATGAAAAGACAGGATGGAGAGGAGACAAAGAAGAGATGGGACAGGAGAAAGGGCAAGGAAAGGAAGAGAGGAAGAATGGAGAGAGAAAGGAGAATAGTAGAAGATCAAAGGAAAGAGAAGGGGTGAGAGAAGAAAGGTTAAGACACGGTTGTGGGGGGTGGGGGGTGTAAGAACAATGAGTGCCCAAAATAGAATTAGGAAATCTCTAAGTGAGGCCACTTTTCCGGTTCCTACCCTCTCCCAATGTGAATGTGGCCGTGGTCCAAAAACAACAGTGCTAACCCCTACTGCCCCTTGCTTGTCCTATCTGTGTGTGACAACAATAATTTATTTCTTACACTTAAGGCTGGTGACCTGAGAGCCAAGGTCATTTTATGAAGAAAAAAAAAAGTCCAGGGGATCCCAACCCACCACTGGTGGAAAATAGAGAAGTTTACCCACACACATTAAATAGGTCAGACACATAAATAGGTCAGGGCAGCAGTGGACTTCATTTTATTTCTGGTTTTCCAATTACAGAAAGGAGGGGAGAGAGAGAGGTGGTGGAAAGTGGTGTAGAAGGCTGAGGTGGTAAGGGTGAGACAGAGGAGGTGAGAGAATAAAGTTTAAGAAAATAAAGTGGGAATGAGACAGGGAGAGAAAGAAGGGAGTAAGAAATAAGATGAGATATAGAGGGAAGAAGGTAGCAGGAAGGGGTGCACTCCTCCCCTAGGTGTCATCAATGTGGGAGGAGAAAAGGGGGGGGGGGGGAGGTGACGGCAAATGTGTTTTTTAAAAGTACACATATATTTAATGTGTGGGAGGGGGAATGATGGACATGAAATGTTCTGCACTAGGCAACACATAACCTTATACACCAACTGAAGGTATGGAGAAAGAAAGAAAGAGAGAGAGAGAAAGAGAGGGAGGAAGTTGAGGGAGAGCGGCAAATACAAAGAGAGAGAGGAAAGCAGTGACACAGACAGTCAGAGAGTGAGGAACAGGTAGGACAAAAATGTGAGGGGGCGGGAAGGGAGATGGACTGCCCCCCCCCCCCAATACAACTTCCTGTGTACTTGAGTTGCTAGGAAGAGTTATGGAGCCGCACATTTACTAAACATTTAAACAAGAAATAAAATAGGAAAAAGGGGGAGGGGGGACAGGAAATGAGAGAGTAAAAGAAAAGATAGAGAGAAAGAGAAGAAGATGAAGATCAGAAGGGAGGGTTAGAGACAATGCAGGAGACGGGAAGGAAGGAGCAATAGGTAGAAGAGTGAAAGAGGGAGGGAAGAGAGAGAGAGAGGGGTGAGACAACAGAAGAGGGAATCTCGGGGAATTACAATACTGATCGCCAAACACACTGTAAAGATAAATCCAGGCCAAAAATAGAACTGGGAAATCCAGCTGCAGTCACTTTGCTTAGCCCCAATGCCATCTCTAATTATTAGAGAAGGCCGTGCTTAGCCCCCACCACGGCGACTCTATTTATAAATACAACTGCACCGAGCCCCACCATCTCCCAATGTAATCCTTTCTAGAAACCACGGCCATAAACGATTTAAACTGTTCATTCTGCCGGACTCGCTAGAAACAAAGGCACAACACACACGCGCGCGCGAGACGGAATCTGCTACTTCCCGCCCCATGCCACACACCGCTGCTGTCTGCATGTTTTCATGATCAGCAACAAAGCCCGCCCTCCCCTGGCCTTTAACAAGCCATTTCGGCTGAAAATAGCCAATAATCAGCTGCCCTCACACCTGAAACGACCATACAACGAAAGTAGCCAAAAACTAGCCAAATGGCCAAAAAAAGCCAAATGGCTCCCTCAAAATTGCCTGTGCTGAAAAACACAGGATTTCTGACGATTTCATTGCCGCGGTCAAAATTCACGGGTTTTTAAGGTCGGAATGTCTTTTATAAGCTAAAAATCCCGGTTCAAGGTCAACGAAAAAAATCCCGGTAATTTCCCGATTTCCCGGTCCACTACGAACCCTGGGTATGCCTTTTCCTCTTCTACCACCGATCATCCCAGTCGCCACAATATTCTCCACCCCCCCCCCCCCCCCCCCCAAACATGGCACTTCCGCTGGTTGGGTCAAATTCCCAGAGAAAGCCACTTAACAGACTATTATAGAGTGAAATGTTTACAAGATGCATGATTAATGTTATTTGCTGTGTTTAAATCTGCACAAACTTTTAGGGGTTCTGGATATGGATATATAAACTGAAAATAGCATTTGGAGGGGAGGGGGTCGAATTCTTTGTGGCCTTTTCAAGCCATGTTTTTCAGTAAGCCTCAGTGATAGGGTTCAAGGGATGAGTCACCCAATAAATACATTTTGGGCCCAGGCAGCATTCTCCCTTAATTGCTTCACTCTGATAGTGTTTACTGATAACTCTCTTTAAATTCTTTCTTTATTTACACAAGTTAAACTCAGCATGCAGTAAATACAACATGAAGTTCGATGCAAACAAAACTGAAACAATGCAAGATAGCAGAACCCCTGGTTCACTACACATACAACTGAATAAAGTAAGGAAATTGAAATATCTAGGAATTATGATCATGGAAGATGTTAGAATTGACAGAGAAATAGAATCCAGATGACTTATATCCCAATTATCCCCATTATTAAGATATTCAAACATAATTATAATTGTAAAGAGACAGATAAAAAACAACATATTCATTCCAACATTAAGCTACCAGTGCCAAACATGGACACTATCTAAAGCCAATAACTCAAAATTACCACTTGTGAGATGAGATGCCTGAGAAAAGCCACTAACCTAACCACCTGAGATTGAGTGAATAATGATACTATTAAACTGTGGAAACGACACCTTGTACTAGAATCAAGCAACAGCAAATCAAGTGGTTTTGCCATCTCATTAGAATACAGCAAGATCAAATACCATCACAGGCATTACATCTCAGAAGATCAGCTACAAGAGAAAAAGAATGGGCGCAAAAAATATGGATCTACAACATTAAAGATATTACGCCCTCACGGCACGACAACAGCCAGTTAGTTAGTTAGTTGGGTTATCATCATTGCACTCCGGACATGTCCATAGGTGCTCAGATCCTCCCCTCAGTATGAATCCCAACGTCCGATGGCTAATAGTACCAGTTCTATGTTGATTAACAAGTCTTCTGACGTGTCCGGTGTGCGTCTCGTTTTTTGCTGTGCCGATCTTAATTCCCAAGTCTGCCATCCTGGCGAGTGCAACAGCCAGTGCCGCCCAGCAAGCACTGGTTCGCAAATAATTCCTCCCCACAACGCTTACTGGCAGAAGTTGTTTATGATAATGACAATGATGATATTTACACACATACACACAAAATTAACAAATGTACATAAAAACATCCTTAAAAAATTATTTGTGACCTCTGTAAAATTGCCCTTTTTTCATCATTCCCCGGGCAACAAGGTAAGCATTTTTTTATCTATAAAAATATGAGGCTAACACTTTTTACCCAGTACACTTCAAGGCATAGTCTTTTCCTTTTTTTTAAAGACAGACTGTGAGAGCAAAGTGAAGAAACATGAAAGCAGACTCCTGAGAGTCAAAAACCTGCAGTACCAAGAAATAAAAGATCAATTTGCAATTAAAAAAAACATTTGTTCAGTTCTGTAATCTTACCAATAATATGGATCTCCATCTTTTAATTTAGCACCTACTGGAGGCAAGCCATCCTCATTCAGGCTGCCTGTATTTTTGTCTGGCGTACAAGCTAAATAAGAAAGTTATAAATAAGTTAAATATAGCAGGATTTATTGATCACATACAGTTGAAACAACAACACCAAATGGTAGTCTATCCATGACTATTTGCTGAGTTATTATATGGCACAGATAAAATCACAAGACTGCACAATTTAGCCAAAACCAGACTGAAATTCACACTGGACAACACACACAATTTTCAATCAGTTGCTCGGGTAAACTACAAACAATAAGAACAGTCAGCCTCTAAGCAGCAACATGATGTTGCATAGCTGTCAACTGTTAGACATGTGGACAAATGAGCCAAGAAGTACACACCTTACAGGTTTTGAGATGGAAAGAGCCACGGCAAATCCTCATGTTTAGGAGACATTTTCATTGCATTTGTGTCTAACGAGATTGCATGATTTAAACGGATGTGCTGTTCACTTACCAGAATGAATATGTAAACACTCTTACAATGCTTCATGTTGTATAACAGTGAATAACTTATTGATAAAACATGAAGGCATGATAGTGCTAGAAAAGGGAGAAAACAGAAGATATGCCAGCACATGCATCAACATCATCCTGCTGTACTATTTAAAAGTCAAATAAGGCTCAGAGTATATTTCTCCATTCCATTCTGGGCAATCTTGTGTCAGCACTGTTGGCCTCTTTCATAGAAAACCCTCCTAGACATCTCTGTTTCCTCAAGCCATTGTAGATCTTGTAACGTCTGCTCACTTTTGTCTACAGTCCTTGCAAACCAAATACCCCATTTATACAGTGTTACAAAATATTTTGCCAATAAAGTCAGAGATATGCCACTTTGTAGTAAAGCACAAAATTATTGAAAATAACATGGTCGGTTCCCAAAATTACATCTGTATTTGTGTAAAATAACTTCACTGACAACAAAGTATCATGAGAAACAAAGAGAAAAAGAACATAGACAAGTAATTGTCAAAGACTTACCAAATACAAATGCTTTAGGCCCGTATTCACGATTGACTGTTCGGAGATCAATTACCTATGAAAACATAAAACAATATTTCGTATCTGCTTATGAATATCTTCTTCTTCTCTTACACCTTGTACCTTATCGAAGTGTCGGGGAGAGATGTAATGTTCATTGATGAGCTCTGTCAAGAGCACTATTATGACTCATGTTCATTTCTGTAAGGCTGCTCTTAATGCCATCACTCCATCTTTTCTGAGGTCTTCCACTCGCTCTATACCCGTTGTAACGTTTTAGTGAGGCTCGCTGTGGCAGATAGTACCAGGGCATTCTTGTTAGGTGGCCAGACCACTTCATTTATTGTTCTTTGATGACCTGTAAGACTGGCTTTATTCCTAGCATTCGTCTGATTTCATATTCTGTCTTTCCTTGAAACTCCTGCAGCTCTTCTAAGGCATTTCATCTCTGTTGTCACAATTTTACGTTCATTGGAGGATGTAAGTGTCTGTGTTTGGCATTGATAGCATAGTATTGGCCAAAAAATGGTTCTGATAAGATTCACTTTAGAACTCCGAGGTATCAAAATATTCAAAATACCATAAAAAAACAAATACAGATCCTACCTAGCACTGTTTTCTTAAAATAAAAAATAAAAACATGCAAAGAAAAGAAAGAGACTAAAAACATGCATCAGTGAAACAATATAATTATATGTTTCATGAGAAATAAAAAATAATATATACTGAGTTACTCCTGACTGCAGACAGTAATAGTCTGTGCCGACAATAACTTACATCTGATTTGATGATACAACCATGGGCAAATCCCCTCTCAAAAGATGATTTGTTGAGTATCATAGCATCTTCCATGTCATAACCCTAGACAGAAATTTAAGAAACAATTTACTCAGCATCTACTATCACATAAAAACATTAAACAGAACAAAGCAAAAATAATCTTCGGCAAATCATAAAATTATGTACAAACTAAGTGTTTACCCATCTATAGGTAATCACAAAAGCTTTATTAGTAGAGCAGATAATGTAATGTACTGATTTACTAATAAATTATAGTTAACTCTGGGCTGATTTAATGGCCAGGAAATACAATGTGTGTGTGTGTGTGTGAGAGAGAGAGAGAGAGAGAGAGAGAGAGAGAGAGAGAGAGAGAGAGAGAGAGAGAGAGAGAGAGAGAGAGAGAAAGAGAGAGAGAGAGAAAGAGAGAGAGAGAGAGAGAGAGAGAGATGGACAGAGAGAGAGAGACAGAGACAGACCCACCTCATAACACTATGACTATACAAGTATATGATTATATTCAGATATAAAACCATATAAAGTAAGCAGAAGGTGTCAGAGCAGAAAATATTACATTACCATGGAAAAAAAAGGTTGATGAAGGAAATTAGTTCCAATATGAACCATGTTTTTCTTCCACAGAAGAAAAAAGCTAGTGTTGCAGACACATTAAAGCATATAATTAAAACACCGGGCAACACCGAAAACAATACACTGGTATGCATCATTGGCACCTTTTCGTCTTTCCAGATGATAGTGTTATTGTGCTTTAAGGAGGCATGGGACTCACAGCCCATGGCGATGGCGAGTGTGACTAGCAAGACCTGCCTGCGTTTAAAATAAAAGTCCTCCACAAGGGATTTCATGACTGTTGTCAAAATTTGTATTTAGTGTGTTTCCTCCCAGATGCTCAGCTCTCATTCCTTCTGCAGTCATGTCTTCCTTGATTCTCATTCCCTTCTTGATGTGCCTCCTCCAGACAACACGGTCCATGGCGTTTTGTTTCACATGAGTTCACCTCACTACCTGTATCAATTATGTCCCATTTGCACATATCTTTATGTTGTAGTAGAGATCATCACTAGTATGACAATTTCACAAAATGCCAGGTCAGAAAAAAAAATAAACGTAATGCACGCAAAGAAATCAGGTGCATAAATAGTGAACTCACAGTGTAGGAAATCACTGCAACAATGGTATTGGTACCTAGAGGGTACTCATCAAAGTTGTATGACTCATAAGTAGACGGTCTAACCAGCGGGCTCTGTGGAGTCTGTATTCGGTACAGTTTGTTGTCAGCTCGGCGAGGGTAGGCATGTAAAGGGGTGCCCATTGTTTGCTTGCCCATCTGAAAAAGGAAAAAAAAAAGTCAGCAAAGTCAAATATCAAACTAAAGAATGAACTTACAATTACCCATTCTACATCAATCTCCATGTGGGGGTTCCGGATCCTGTTATAGGGAAAACAATAATAGACCCACTGCATACCCAACAAGCATGTCATAAGAGTTGACTAAGTGGAAGCTTCCTTCAAAGTTGGAGTGCATCTGCCTGAGAGGCAAGGAACCAGCAATCTACATACAAATGAGTCAGATTTGTAAAACAGATGCACATGCAACACTCAGGTTCTGGAACAGGACTGCAGTATAGAAGTGGATGAACAACCAAGACTTTATACCAGAGTTTACAGCTGGTGAGTGCAAATAAGAAGAAGATATCAATTAGTGCATCCCTGTTTGATTATGAACATATTTATGACTGAACGATACAAGGACTTAGATACAAATTCACTTCGTAAAAACTGCAGGTCTAAATAATTGGAAAAAGAAGAATCATAACAAAAGAAATTAAATGTCTATGACAAATCCTAAATGTAACAGGAACATACATAATGTGAAATGATGATATCAGGCAATAAGCCAGGATGGAGCCAGTGTTAACATACATCAAGATACAACCGATCAAATGGTTCAGACATGCGTCAGGACTACTACAGGACAGTTCATCAAAGACAGCCCTGTGACTTAAATATAACGGAAGTAGATCTAGAGGTCACCCATGCAAGCCATGATTCCATGGTTTATCTGAGACAGCGAATACTAGCATCTATGCAGCATACACCAGATGCCTCTTCAAAACTTGCTGATAGGCAGAGCAGGACTACAGAAGAATAAGAAGATGAAAAAGAATAATAGGAGCGACTAGCTGGTATTTTAAAGCTTTTAACCTCGATTACTGAATCTCCTGGTTATGCAATCAACTATCTAGTCATAGGTGGATGAATGTCTCATTTACTAACCCATGTTTGCCTTTTATATGGCAGCAGAAGCCTACGCCTGCATGCACCATATCTGTTTCTTACAGAACCCTTAAAGTTATCACCCCCCCCCTTTTTTTTTTTACAAAACTATACCTATATGTGTTTTGGCTGAATGTTTTTACTCGTTGTTAATTAGGTTTCAGTCCAAAAAAAATTGTGTATGCGTCTCATGTAGATTATTTAGATGCACAATGCCACACTTAATCTTTAAACAAATAACAAAACAAAAAACAGGCTACAGGAATAAATGCATACCTGACACTGATACATGTTACGTGGACTCTGGTTGAAGTCTGAGAATGGAGTCATGCTAGCAATGACACTCAACATACCCTGTTCATTCAATTCCAAATGACTTGTCACCTGAGAAAATAAAAACAATCACAGTGAATCATTACAATCTCTCCCTCAGAACTGATTTCTTCTTCTGCGGTTTTTCATTTATCACTTCAGCAGAGGTAAGTATGGTACCAACATAGAGCTATCCAACTAGCAATAGGAAGAACCAGCATCCACCCAGCCCCTTCGATTTTTGAGACCAAATTAAGGTTTTCCTATAGATGTTTAGCTGATTCTTCATTATAGTGATGATCAGGAGGACGGTAAAGTGAGCACTGAATTAACAATGTAAACTGCGAGCATTCAAGCATGGGGGAAAAAAGAAATTAAAATAAGCTGAAATATATTCATACCACTTGTTATTGCAGTCCAACCAAACCTGAAATAATGAGATAAGAACACATACTAAATGAAGTCTGATGCTAAACAAGGCCTTTTTCTTTGCGAGTGTGCACCATCCTACGGGTACAGAAATTTAAAACTATGATATATGCACATTTACATCATGAATATAATATAAAGTCCATATGACTGCTCATTATCATCATCAAGTGCCATGTCTACAATAAAGATAGGTCAGTTTGTACCTTTAAAGTGCACCCAAACAAGCTTATTGTTCCAGTCTCTCTCAATGTTGCTCAGTCACAGGTAATACTGTTTCCATTTATTTGCTTCCATGCCACCATGTTCTATAACATGGAATTGTTTCTTATTCCAATGAAGTAAATAAACCCCTTTAAATGTGATCTCTGTTAGTTAAGTTTACTTCAATCTAATTCTTCATCTTAATAAATCCCCTTCCTCCTCATCCCATATCTATCAAACTCCCCATTAAAGTCAAACATATGATTTGTAATATATTTCAAGTTCTATTCACTGTAAATCACTTGAATCAGGTGATCCCAGACAACAGGTCACCCCACAGTTGTTCCAATCCATGTGCCAGAAAATGCCACACAGAATGACCACCACTGTCGCTTGTAAAAGGGAACTGACACTGACTGCAGTCTCAGCAAAGCCAACAGCATAAATGCATAAGGTAGTCGTGAGACATGCCAACACAGTCCGGCACCAAAAATGTTATTCATCATTGATGATAGCAGCAGTTACAACAGATCAGCAGTTGCACATGCAACTAATCGCATATGGCACCACCAATTCTTTAGCAACAAGGCATTCACCATTTTCTGAAGTGAATTCACAACAAAAACCATGGTGGGCAGTCAAAATAAAATCTGCAGCTCAGTGTCGCGCGATGCACTTAACTCAGTAGGTAGCTGGGGGACAGAACTCTATCCTTTTAGCCTGCATATAGAGGAAAATACAATAGCTAACAACTGTTAAAGCAAAAACCTGCCAGGACTGGCAGTCAAAGGAAACTTTCAGTATAAACTGATCTAAATTATGAAACATCAAATGATCCTCTTCTTCTTCTTTGTTCTCTGGCTGTAAGCTCCAGTGGAAAGTCCTGGTTGTTTGTCCATTTGAACTTTGGCTTTCTACCAGGGCCTGAGTTTTGCATGTTAGGTTAGTTGTGTATCCTTTACAGGACGTTGCAGAACCAACCCCAGCAGCCCCTGGCTATTGTGTGGTTTCTCTAGGCAAATTTACATTCAGTATTTTTCCATTGCTTTATGGACGGTCGGCCCCCTGATACCACTGTCGAAACCAATGAAAGGCGCATGGCCTGCAGCTGGGATCGAAACCGGCATTACGAAGACTTCGCATTGACTTAGCCACAGAGCTGACGTTTTGTATGTACATCTGTTTTACTGGCTAAATTGTGTGCAGTTGGTTGTTCTTTGCTGCTTAGGCAGATGCACTCTGACTTTGAAGGAAGCTCCCATTTAGTTGACTTTACTCTTAAGACATGCTTTGGGGGGAGGTCAGGGGGTCTATTCTTGTGAAATCATGATCAAAAATTTACTATCAGAAACAGGTTAGTATTGGGGCAGTTTTTGACTGCATACACTAAATATTAAAAGTATAAAGTTCAAATAAAGGATGGGCAATGATTATGTCATCTCCTTCTGCGGACAATTGACCTACCCCAGGGTATGCTTCGCTCTTGTTGATGGCTATGTCTAAGTACACCTGTTCAAAAGTCCCAATCATCTCAATTGCATCAGCGTTGATGTTCAGCACTGGTCGCACCATTCTGGCCACATTTGAAAATAGGTAAACTCCTGGGTACTGGCTGGCAACACCAGTCTTCTTCACAAAGCAAATCTCCAGGACAAACGGAACCTGTTGGCGATAATAAAGGTCAATAGCAACACTTTTCTTAGAAATAAAAAAAAAAAGTTTTTTTAAAGGATAAAGATTGCAGTTTTTGTGACACAAATTCTACTTAATATCTATCCAAACAGATCATAAACCCTTGACCAACTCATGATAAGTGGTAAAATAGTTCATGACATGTCTCCTAAATGGAGGACGGTCATATTCCAAAGGATCTGTATGGTTAACTGGAAACAAAGATCAACAGGGAGGCTAAGCTATAAGGACATATGCAAACATGATCTGAAAGATACCAACATTGACACAGACACTTGGGAGAGGTCAGCTGCTGACTGAAGCTTTTAGTGACATGCAATGTTACCATCCTTTTCTTTTCTTACAGACCCTGAAAAAAAACGAGTGTCTTTTCCCATGAACCTGGCCGTATGTTATATGTTTCTTCTGTACTGTTTTCTTTAAAAGCACTTAACTTCAACTATCTGAGTTATTTTAACAACGATCAATCAAGTGCCATCTTCATAATGATGTTTGGTGGCAATGATTCTCTGCCTTTCTCAGTCTCTCATCTTGAGACGGACTAACTATTTCTGTTGTGTGCCCACTTCTGGACTTTGGTGGTTTTGCTCCAGTACTTGAGTGCTGCGTGCACATAAGTGATACAGATCTTGTGTGTAGACTGTTGGTTCCTTACATCTCATGCAGATGTAATCTGACTTTAAAAGCAACATTGATTATATCTATGATGGCCAGGCCCCCAGTAGTAAATCCATTTCTAGTATTAGCTAGGAGAGGCGTATATAGGTCTTGACCAAAATGAGCCCTGATCCTGGCACACCACACTCTCGGCATCCTGACAGAGTGGAAAGATCAAGTTATCTATAGGTGTTAAAAGGTGAGCCTAGAAGAATGCAACAAATATTCAGACTTCTGCATGCCATCATAGCAATAAAATAAAGTATGTAAAGGAGGTTAAAAGGTGACCCTAGAAGAATGCAATAAATACTTAGCACCTCTGCATCCCCACCACAGTGGCTATATCACGTGATCTAAAGGTGTTAAAATGGGAGCCTAGAAGAAAGCAACAAACAGCACCTTTGCATCCCCCCCACAGCAGCAAAATCAAGTGATCTAAATGTGTTAAAAGGTGAGCCTAGAAGAATGCAACAAATACTCACCTCCCCTCTGCCTTTCACCTTCAGTGTCCTGAGAGTGCTGATGAAAGTTTCTACTGTCCAGGCATTAACATAGCCCATGACTCTTCCATCCAAAATGACAATGTAACAGTCATCAATAGGCCAAGGGTTGGGAGACGATAATGGGGACATCCCTAACTCTGTAAGAATGTGACCCAGCCTTTCTGTTGGAAATTCTGTACAAACAACCTGATACAGAAAGAAACAGCATAATTAGTAAATAAATGTTTAATTTCTTCACCAGGGCGTCTGTAAAGTCTCTCTACACTCTGTATGCAGAACAAATTTGATTTAAAAAAAAGAAAAAAAAAGTGTTTCCACAGTAATTAAATTAATTAGAATAGTCACTGCCATGGTCTTATATCAGGGAAGCTCTTCATACTGTCAAATATCGTCTGCAACATGTCTATTGTTATTTCTTGAATGGTAATTCTGATCCTCAACTGTGAGTACAATATTTCTGTATTCAACAAATTTCTAAGTGCAATGCGACAAGGTGGTGGTTTTTCCGGAAATCTTTGAACAACCATCAATGTGTATTGACAGCTCATTACAGTATGCAACCAGAAAGGACAATAATTAGTCTTATCTATCTAAACATTTGTGACAAAACTACAGTAAAGGACAAAATGCATATTAATATAGTGTAAAATAACTATTATGGGTGTATATTTTATATCTTTATAGTAAAATTCCAATCTCCAAATGGGTATAATTTTGTTGTGTACACTAGTAGTCATCATACATGTATATTTAAATGCCTTATGGTACAACATTCACCTTACAACTGGCTGACATGTGATTGAGCAGGCCACACGGAGCTCCGTCAGGTGTGTGCACCGGACACAAAAACCCTATGGAATAAAAATGCAGATTACATGCAGATTTTATCACTCTAGCCTGCTTTCAAAATTACTGTTACTTAAACACAGAGAGATTAAAACTGAAACAATATTAACAAATGTGTAAAAATTTGGTACATGATTGTTAATCTGTAAGAGTAAAAAAATATTGATAAAAAAGTAAATAATATATCAATATAAAGCCACGACGATGACAAATCAAGAGGTGACAAAAAAGCAACTGGCACTGGAAGATCATACACTATCATACACTGAGAAAATATGATAATAATATAACTAGAATATAACTGTATGGCTATCCTCCAAAAAACAGTCCCAAACTATTGAGGCCAAAAATATACCGACAGGGCCTTTTCTTCTTCTTCTGCCTTTCTATCCCCCAATGGAGCATAGGCCCTCAACCAACTCACGCCAAGTCGTTCTATCCTTCGCCATTGCATGGAGCTCTCCCCATGTCCTCTTAATCTTTCTAACCTCATTCTCCAGCTCTTTTCTCCATGTGTTTTTTGGCCCTCCCTTATTTCTATGCCCCTGTGGGTTCCAATGCAAAGACATTCTAGTTATGCTGTTCTCATGTTTTCTCAGTGTGTGCCCTATCCAACGCCAGCGTCTTTTCCTCACCTCCTGATACACTGGAGCCTGTTTAGTTCTCTCCCAAAGTTCTACATTAGTTATTCTATCATACCATTTTATTCCCTCTATTCTGCGCAGGCACCAGTTAATGAATGTCTGTAATTTATTAGTAATTGCCTTGGTTGTTCTCCATGTTTCCGCCCCATACAATAGTACTGATTTGACATTAGAATTAAAAATTTTTAGTTTAGTATTTCTTTTAATTTCTTTTGACCTCCACAAATTCCCTAGCGCTATGAAAGTCCCTCTTGCCTTTTGTATTCTTATTTTAATATCTCTATCAGTTTCTCCATCTTTATCTACATTACTGCCTAAATAGGTGTACGACTCCACGTCTTGGAGTGGGGTGCCATTAAGAGAAACCACATTACTATTTGCCTGATTTATTCTCATTATCTTTGTCTTTCCTTTATGGATTTTCAGACCAAGCTGCTGTGATCTCGCACTAAGTATATTTAATTTATCTTGTATCTGATTCCGTGAATGGGACATAAGGGCAATATCATCAGCGAAGTCCAGATCATCAAGCTGTTTTGTAGGGGTCCACTGAATTCCATTCTTGGCTGGGACTCACGAGCAGCAGCTACCGCATCTCCTGCAGCTTCCTTCATTTTATTTGCTCATGAGTCCCAGCCATCAAGTTTAGCCCCACTCCGCACCGCGGGAGATACTCTCGGCGGTATGCTGTGTGGTCGCCGGAAGAGGTCCGCTATTTACATGTCACTGAGGCCCTGTCAGGGTATATTTTTGGCCTCGATAATTTGGGACCATTATTCGGAGGATAGCCTAACTGTACTTGAACCCACAGGGTCAAGCAAATAAAGGCAGACCAACAAAAAAAAAAAAAAATGAAGAAGTTAATGTGAAGAAGATGGACAGAACACTGAAGATTTTGAAGATAAATAAATGAACAAAATTAGACAATATTTATCTTAAAAATGATAAATCATTCAATAACACACGGTGCAAATTAATTAAACTGTAGTACAATTTGTGTATAAATCTATTTGATAACAAGTGTTACCACCGACCGGCCATGCCAGCCTCACAAAAATGGGAATTCCCATTTGAGCTGTACAGCCTTATATCTGAAGCTGGCCCTGTTACAAACAGATAAGAGATTTTGTGTATTTGTCTCTGCAATTGTAATACTGCTCTTGTGTCATATACTGATGAAGGCATGCTATCCACAAAGTTCATTTGCCATTCCGACTGCGACAACTGGCACTGATTAGTTCTACTTTTCGTTTAGACTGATAACTTTACACTGTATTTTTTTAAACATTTTTATATTTTTCTTCTAAAAGTAAGTTTTCCTTCACCTTTTGTAACATGCACAAATATCTTACCCCAAGCTTCCGGCAACAACTTCCTCACTGAGGTTGTCCTCATTTCTGTGAAAAATGAACCTCTGTGTACAGATCGAAAATGTGACAAATATCGAAAGAAGTTCAGCTTGTCAGCAATCACAGTAAAGCCACGACTCTGAAAAGCAAGAATCATTCGGCACAGTGAGAGCCAAGATCTTTATCATCCTTAGTTTGAGCAACAAATACATAATTACTTAGGCTATCCTCTGAATAACGGTCGGTAAAGATGTCGGCCGCAAAATATCCTTTCGAGTCAGTCACGTGACATAATTTGCGGTTCTCGGCGACTACCGCCACGAGTTCCCCACGCCGCGTGGATTGGGGCTAAACTAGATGGCTAGGACCCACGAGCAGCAGCTTCCGCATCTCCTGAAGCTTTGCTCGTGAGTCATAGCCATCTAGTTTAGCCCCAATCCCCGCCATGTGAGCGCCGTGGGGGACTCCAGGCGGTGGTGGTAGTCGCCGGAAAACCGCAGATTAGGTCGCTGGAAGTGCGCAATTGACACGTGACTGTGGCTCGAAAGGATATTTTGCGGCCGCCATCTTTACCGACCGTTATTTGGAGGATAGCCATTACTTACTAGTCAAATAATCTGGGCATTAAAATGTTATCAGTTATTTGTTTTCTCAAAAACACGTAGTGCAAAAATATGTACTGTGAAGAAAAAAGAAAAGTAAAATGTTATCTAAATCTAAAGCATTGTCGGATCGAGTCCTTTAACATCAATGTTCTGTAACTTGAAACCTGAATATGCAAACTGCACATCTCAGTTGGAGCTGGACTTTTTTCTTTTTAAAACGACCTTGGCTCCCAGCCTTGAGTGGGTGCTGGGCGCAGTCCCGAGAAGTAAAGGCAACCGGTGTAATGCTGACCACATCACCGCTCTTGTGCTGATTGGTCAAAAAATATAGGTCTAGCCCTATATGCCTAAAGGCGTGGAAAAAGGTCCTTTAATTTACTATATCTCAGTGAATTTAAAGGACTAAAAAAAGTTTGCGCTAAGAAATTCAAGCTGTGAATTGGATTTAAAAACACAACTTTCTCAGAAAGAATGTAATCTGTGGTAGCTAATAAAAGCAATTAACTGTGGGCACACATGAAGAAAAAATACAATGAAAACACAAACATGACCACAAAACTGCTACCTGCATCAGTCCAAGTCCTGTGCGAGAGATGAGATTTCCAGTAGAAAGCAGGTACTCCATGGCACGTGAAATTGATGGTACATGTTTGGCTGCTTCTTTCACCTCAGCTGAAATGACAATGGAATCTTGCAAATATACATCAGCCACACTGCAGACAGTTTATTTACTATTTAGTCACTCGTCTTCTACCTTGGGGTATAGAGGTTTGCCAGAGAGATCACCAAATGTCTCTATCTGCAGTTTTTTTCCTTCTGATTTTGTTCCATTCCAGTCATCAGTCAGAGACTTCGGATGTTGTCTTCCTATTAGACTCTGGCTCGGCCTAAAGGTCTGGTTCTTAGCCTCCCATGGTGGCCAATATCCTCCTATTCTGCACACATGTCCAAACCATCGTAACTGTGACTGATCCACTCAAGTTTGTAAGGCCTGGGTTTCAGGATTTTGATGTATTGTCTGATTGTGGACTTTGTCTCTTCTTGTCACATTTCTAAGACATCTCATTTCTGAGGCCTGAAGCTGGCTTCTGTGAGCTGTTTTCATTGTCCATGACTCACAATCGTAGGTGACCACAACGGAATGTCGCAGACAGCAACGGATAATTTCGTATTTTTGTTCTATTTACAGAAAACTGACCAGAATTCAAACTAAGAACTTCTGAAAAATATCAAAGACTTGCTCAAATAATTCAAGTCACTTATGGCTTGGTCACTTCCTAAAACATGAAGAAACACCAAGTCGATGAAAAAGTACTTTTAAAAAACAAATAAGAGAAAATATATTACCCGACACAAAAATTACAGAAATTAGCACAAGGACTTCTTCAGCATTTTGAGTCATTGAAGTTCACTGCTGCAGATACTGCCATCTTTCAGGTCAACATAGCCTTTAAGGTTAAGCCCAGGGAAGTAAAGGCGACCAGTGTGATGGAGCATCACCCATCGAGGGCCGATTTGTCTACAAAAATATGAGTATAGACTCTTATGCCTGATGCACCACTGGGATGCAAAGCTGCCTTTACTTTACTCATCTCTGTGACTGACCTTTTTCCTGATGGCCACTCAAAGTGCGTGTGGGTTTTTTTAAACTACAATATCTAAATTACTTGACAATAAAAATTAAGGAAGTATTTTTTCTGAGATATATAATTATGAATCCCTATTCATACATAGAACAGATGGCTCTGAAACATGCACCCTCATAAAAATAAACAAAAAGAACCTGAAGGCCTCCTATAAAAAAAAAGGGCTAAAAAAATCCAGGGGGGGGGGGGGGGGGGGGGAGAGAGCTCACATGGGATTCACATAAAAATAGTTTGGGGTACAGCACATATTATTTTATGACACAAGACTGACTAACCTTACGAATAAAGTTACTATTGTGTAAGCTTATTTTTATACATACTAATTTAAAGAGCAGCTGGCGCTCCAGGAGACCTGGCTCAAATCATCAGTAAGGTCATACAATTCCTAACCTGCACAGTCAGGAGGACCTTCTCCCTCTTCCACCCCTTCAGGCGTACTGGGCATAAAGGGCTAGACCTATATATTATAGACCAATCGGCACTTGGTGGGTGATGTGGTCAACATCACTCACCATTTAAGAGTCGACCTGGAAGTCGAGGTCAATCTTTTAACAACAAAAAGTCCAACTCTGCCAGGACTTGAAACCTGACCTTCAGATCTGTAGGCAAGCATTTAGCCTGTACACCCTGGTGCCCCCCCCCCCCCCAAAGTTAGAGGTCACTGCACTAGCCATGCAGCCCCAAATATACTAATATAATTAATTTTAATCACACTGGAAAGAAAAGTGACACAGTCTCTCACAACACCTTTCTGGCAAGAAAGGACAACTAGTGCAAAATTTAGAAACAGTACGAATGAAAATTAAATGGATCAAAAACAACTTACCTTGATTCATTTGTAAAGATTGGCCTTTCTTGCGAGCATACTTCAGCATGGATGTCTTCATGCCTAGCAAGTATACCTCAAGCTTTTCCTAAAGTGTATGATGAAAATTCATTTTTGTTAACAAACTGCAGAACAGAATTTACAACAGTGAAAACTTAACTAGAGGGCTGCGTGGTCTTGAGGCATGGCGTCCGCCTCGAGTGCTGCAGCCCCAGGCCCAATTTTTGTTCCCATTGACTTCTAGTAATTTATCCGGGTTTGGGTAGTGAGATCGGACGACCGTGTGTATTGTAGCGCATGTAAAAAATCCAGCGGAAGTCGGAAATCAAAAAGAGTAGCCTAACGGACAAAATGTGGGGTTAAAAATCTACCCAAAGTATTTCAGGATCCTCGCAGGTGCAACGGAATTCGTGCACTGCACTGAGCTAATTCAAACTCAGGCTTGAGCTATAAGTAGAACGGAGCACTTATGAGTTACATCGTGCTGCATGATGTTGATCCATAAAATAAACCAAACCAATACCAAATAAAAACTTAATTGTTATAAGACCCTACAAAACACACACACAAAAAGACAGCTGAAAGGTTAGGAAGTATTACTTTTAGCACATTTTCATCTCTCCAGGCAAAAATGTTGAGATATTTTCTGAAAATATATTAACCCTTTCAGTAACAGGTGGATGCAATGTATATTAAATTATAAGTAATATTCTAAATATATATTTCTTTGACACAAGACACCAGAACAAGGCTATCAAACAGAATTAGTTCACCATCATGTGGGTTTCGGGGCTGGGGGAGAACAAATACAATGGCTCCTTAACAAGTATGTCGTAAAAGTTGACTATTTAAGGGTGTTTCCTTCTAAATCCTCACTCATCTGCTTGAAATGCAAGGAACCAACAGTCTGCATACAAATAAGCTGGATCTGTAAAACGGATGTGATGCAAACTCAAGTTCTCAATAAGAACATGAAGAATTAGTTTAACAAACTTACTTTCAACACCATTTGCATAAGCTGACCTGGCAACAACAGTTCTTGAAACATTGGATTGTCTGGATTCTCCGCAGCACACTCCCCATTTACAAATGCAAAAAGCTTTTGTGTCATGTATCTATTTTTTTTAAACAAAAAGGCATATTTAAGGGGACTGACTCATTAACATTGTTAAATAGAGAGGGGCTAAAAATGGGTGAATAATGCAATAGCTACTATTAAACATTTGTTCATTAGAACAAAATTCTAGCAATGAAAGTTTCACTAAATCAAATGTGAAATGACCAAAATGCCAATAACAGAATTCAGCAAAAGATGGTGAACTTCTTTCTTTAAATAGCATATTTAATTATAGATCAAACATAGCATTAGGCATGAAAAAGATGAGAGAAGACAAAAAATAGAATGTCTAGACTGCACACTTCGATCACACTCACAAAAAAAATCAGCAGTACATTAGTAAAAACAATAGATAACACTGAAATCTCAGTTTAAAAAAAATTACAGCGCAAACAAATGGGAATGCCTAATGCCGTGTTTTATGTATAATTAAATATGCTATTTAACCCCCCCAAAAAAATTATTTTTGCAGTCTTAGTCTGTGGCGATAAAACAGAATATTGTTTTTATTTCTTTCAGTTTAAAGTTCTGACTTACTGTGCAAATATTTTACCACAACTGTTTTGCTGGACTTTTACAGTGATGTTTGCTACTGAATTAACATGACAACTATGTTAGCAGAAAGTTTATCAGGTTTTAACAAGAGTTTTTAAGAAGGTAAACTGAACCCTTTCGCACCGATGATCTATATGGGCCAAAAATTAATAAATTCTATACACAGTATATGTATGTATGTATGTATGTATGTATGTATGTATGTATGTATGTATGTATGTATGTATGTATATATATATATATATATATATATCTTCTTCTTCTTCTTCGCGTTCACCAGCTGTACATTCTGGTGGAAAGTTCTGGTTGCTCGTCCACTACTGAACTGCAGTCCTGCTCCAGAACCTGAGTGTTGCGTGTGCATCAGTTTTACAGATCTCATTATCTTGAATACAGACTGTTGGTTCCTTGCCTCTCCGGCAGATGCACTCCGACTTCAAAGGAAGCTCCCCAATTAGTCGACTCTTACGACATGCTTTTGGGGAGGTGTGACGAGCTGGTCTGGACAGCTGTTTCTGTCCTCTTAAAAAGTGCTTTGTTTAGATAATATTATTACTAAAGTTCTAAACATTTTCCTATTGCTTTTAATTAGCATAATAACACTGGATTAATTAAGAAATTTCCTTACCTTTTTCTTAATGCTTTATTGTAGCAAAATTATAATTAAAGAGTTGAAAGGTAATATAGGCGAAGAGTAGTGCAAGGGGGACTGAAGAGTTACTTCCTCCTGACTTCCTGTTCCCTTTTCAATTCAGAAATTGACCGGTTCAGACCTAAAGTTGTTAGTCTGCCTGTGGTCCAATTTTCTGTTTGAATTCCCTGCCAGGGTTCCAGATTGTATTCCAGATTGTAGTCCAGAAGTAGATCCTAAGCTAAGCCGCAGATACCCGATTGTCCGGACTGGACTGGAAGATTCGGCCTGCCTGATGTGTCACCGAGGCTTAGCCAGAAGCTGACATAAGCTACAGCTAAGTGGACAGTTGACCACTATCTTTTTATAACCGGATTTTATATCCACAGCCATTTAGTTATCATTTGAATTTATATTGAATTGAAAATCCTAATAAATGTAGTTTTAATGTTCTTACAGTTTTCTGAAGTTTCATTTTAACTGTAAGTGTGTCAGTGAACAAAAGCTAGTATAACTTTAATACATTTAAATATACAATTAATTACAGTAGGGAATAAGATGTGGGCAAACCCCGAATCCTCTCATTTAACCAGCAAGGCTGGGGTTACTATAAGACCTTATGATGTTTCACTGTTTGTAGTTCCCTCTGTAAAGTGCACATAGTGCATTCGCTAGTTAAAGCGAAGTTACCCGCCACAGGAGGCAGTGGGTCTATTCTTGTTTTCCCTTACAATGGGGCCCCGGATCCCACACGGGGGAATATATATATTTATATATGGTTAAATAAAGAATTGAAAACATGAACTAATACCAATCAACTTACACTATCAGATTAAATTTGTCTGTATTGTTTTTCAGGTGAATGCACAGACTTTGCCTAAAGAGGGCTCTCCCAACATCTTCATTGGTGTACCAATCAGGCAATGACATCTTGACACGAAACTTCTGGCCAATGTACTGCAAGACTGACATTTGAGAAATAAGACCCTCAGACATGACCTGTCTAAGCATGTAGATAACTCGCCTGTCAGAAGAGAATGAAGCAGCAATTTAAAATAACCGCGAGGAACACAGCATTAATTTCTTAGTTCTTTGTGTTAACTGATTGTAAACTCTAATGGAAAGTCCTGGCTTTTCACCTACTTCTGGACTCTGGTCTTAATCCAGGTACAGAGTACTGTACACATATCTGTTTTACAGATCAGGCTTATTCATGTGCAGACTGTTGGCTCCTTGCCTCTTAGGCAGATGATTCCAACTTGGAAAGAAATGCTGATCCTATTTCTGTTGGCCAGACAGGGAACCTGTTTCTAGGATAACTGTGAAGATGTAAATAGGTTTTTGACCAGTATAAGCCCTGGTCCTGCATCCGGTGGGGTGTTGGTATCAGTAAATATAATACACAAAGAACAAGAATACTCTCAAGAAGAACTTACTGACAATTTGAACATGATTCACACCCTATAAAAAATCTGCACTTTGCATGTGTGTTCAAGAAGATAGAGATGGACAGGGTCTTAAGACACTAGCTGGTGTCTCTGAGGCAGTCAGGGCTGACAAAGATCAGTTTCATTTTTGTAATAGGGCATGCATGTAGTGCAAGGAAATGAGCAATCTGATAGGCTTGCAGGTAATGCTACTGTGAAGGATAGACAAGCCATGAACCAGGCTGACATACTGAATCTGATATGTGAAGGAATATGATTGTGAGAAAGGGATTGTGAATTTGCAACCATGACCAGACCACAAGAACAGCAATTTAAAAGCGGTGTGGCCAGACAAGAGCACTATGCAGGAAGTCAAAGAAGAATAAGAAACCAACACAGAACTGTATCATGGAAAGATATAAAACTGAACAAAAAGCAGATCAGCGAGCTTCACAATATAATACACAGGAAAAAAACGTTGCAGCTAAAGAGCCTCCATTAGCACACTCATAAACAAAACCACAAGAATACACACAAACTTGACTCATGATGAATTATGCTCCAAAACTGTATAGAACATTAGTTAAGTCACTGATAACCAGAATGCAAAACAAGATTAGTCCTAAAATACATGAAGCAAATACTTTCATAGGATGGGACTATTCAAACAAACAGTAAAGTAACTAAGTATTTCAGTCACTCACTGATTACTACGTTTATTTTACTTTTACTGGTTCAGTAATATACAAAACAATACTTCAACAAAACATACCCTTTCAAAAATGAATCTTCTTCTCTGCCTCGAATAAGTTCATCATAGATATACTTATCAGAGACATCAATTAAACCCTGCAAATACAGAAGAATTAACATTTTAAGCTGTATGATGAAGGACTGAATTTTAAACACCACTGAGCATGATTGACAATAAACACACAGAAGTAGAATTGTAATTGTGTGTGTGTGTGGGGGGGAATCCAGATTTGAATGTGACTATATTCGATGTAGCAAATCCCTATCAGAATACTGCTCTCCTGTGTGGGTTCCGTTTTTGTTGTTGAAAAAAAAAAAAAAAGAATAGGCCTAAGGCTCTGTAACTCTTTCAGTCCCAAACAACCATGACCCCATTTTCTAAAATGCACCAGTCAAAATATTATACTGCCTGTACATTTTATGTTTAGACAGGACAAAGTAAAACATTCAACGAGACTCCTACGAGGGTTGAGTATTTAGCTCTCAAGGAGGTAGTATACCCAAGATTTTTTTCTGCCAGTATAGACTCACTTTGGTATTAGCTATGTCCTTCTGGGGCAGAATGAGTTAACAAACAAGGATGTCATAAGGGGCGACTAATAAAGACTTGCAGAAATCATGTCTGGGCTCAAAAGCACAGATATCACAGCCTGGCTGTAAACCACAACACAATCAGCCAACTGCCCTTTGAGGGTAAATGCAGATGAACACTGCTATAATTATGAAAAACTGATCATTTATTAGTTCTACTTCCATGTGCCTGGCAGAGCAGTTTATATATGAAGTGTACTGTGCTCATTTTAATGTTGTCAACCCTGCCTCTCTTTCCAGGAACCATACCTTTATTTGGTGTTAATTATAAACCACTGTGACACAATGACAAACATATTTCAGTTTTCAATTCAGGATGTTATTTACCAGCCAGTTTTCTTCAATGTTCAAATTTTGTAGAATGTATTTTTCTTAACAGGATCCAAAAAATTCACAGAATTCTATGTAAGATTTAAGTTCTAGAGATTAATTTTTTTTTTAAATGATTACGAAATTACCTGTGACTCACATTCATATGTTACCACAGGGAATATGCAGAGTATTATTGTCAATGCAGATGAGTGTGCTGTCTTTTCATTTGCCTTTGTGTACTAACAGATCTTAAAATAAGCAGCACACTTTAAACTTCTGAAAATGAAAAATTACTAAAAAGATGCAACATGCAACAATTCATCAGGCTTTTAGTCAAAATGTACATTTTGAAAACAGTCAAACATAAATATCTGTTTGAACAGAAGCCATACACTTGCAAATCTGCTTTAAGAAATCAGCAAATGCGACTAAGAAAACCCATGTTTACTGGTGATAGACATAACTATAATTGCAAATTGAGAATAGAAACATACACAAAGTAAAGACTCCTGTTATTTATCAATGATGGGTCAGATCATCACAAACATCATACTGTTGGTTTGGTTATATGTAAGATAGGGCACACAGTCTACATATCTCTACTTCCTTCTATCCTGTGCAATTTTCTCAATAGGGATGGAAACCACTCCAGCAGCTCTGGTCTCTCCCATCAGTCTGAATTGTTGGGTTTTTCTTGGGTGACCTTGTTTTCTCAGTTCTTTGCTTTCCATTTCAGTGACTGGCAATTCTGTCTACTTCTCCTCATGATCTGCCGTGTGTTTCACCACAGTCTTCATATCATAACTGTTGGTACCAGCAGTTGGGCCAGACGGCTAGTAAAGAATAAAACAGTCACACATCAAAGATCACACTTAAAGAACCAAAGCTTAAAGGCATAAACACACCTTCAGCACCAAAACAACAGGAATGAAAAACACTTCTTTGTTGAGACCAAAGCTGAGTTTAGCTGTTCCATTTTGCAAATAGTGAAGAGTCAGATTCTACGGATGAAAAAATTAATTTTTTTAATACACACATATTCAAAAGGGAAAAACAGCATAAAATTTAATGTGAAATACTTCAGCAACTGTAATACAGTAAATCCTCATTAATATGAACCTGCTTAGGAAGAATACTAGCTGGCATGAAAATTGTGTTTGCCCCAGCATGGATATGTTTGTTTGTTAGTGTTCGCTGGCTGTAAACCCACAGAAAGACCTAGTGGTTTGGAAATTGTTGGACTTTGTTTCAGGGCCTGAGTTTTGCGTGTGCATTCATTTTACAGAACTTGCTTATTTGTATGCAGACTGTTGGTTCCTTGCCTCTAAGGTAGATGCACTCAAACTCTGAAGGAAGCTCCCAATTAGTCTACTTTATGGCATGCTTTTTGGGGAGGTTGTGGGTCTATGTGTTCCTCACAATGGGACCCCAGAACCAACACGAGGAACAGGGATGTACTGTTATTAGTCCCAAGTTGGCAACAATTTTAGCAAACCAAAATCTTGATTGTTTGGTCCTTTGGAATTTGTGTTAATAAGGTTTTACTGATATATCTAAAATAAAGTATATAACCAGATTATTTTGTATATGTAGACAATCCCATGTCACTAATGCAGATAATAAGATAACAGACCACAAACAACATATTCATAGCTGGCATATCTCTTCCAAACATTCTCATTTGTTTTTAAGTATGAAAAGTCGCAACCGCAATTAGCCTTACTTGTCCAGACCTGAAGGTTACATATGTATATTTTTATTAGTCTTTCTATTCCTGGTTTTATTTAGCATCTCCAATTCTTTTCTATCACCGTCAAGTGGCACAATGGTTGATACAGGCAAGTGAGCCTGTGTTAACCAACCAATCCACACCTGTTTGTGGTATTCTCCATGAGTCTGATTTCTGTCTGTTCTCCATTACTTACAATAGAAGAGGGGTGTTTTGCAACTCCTTGAACATACCCACTACTTACATAAGAAGACTAGAGGGTTATATCATCATCCTATTGTGCAGTTATACATCACACAAGACTAGAAGGTTATATCATCACCCTACTGTGCAATTATACATCACACAAGACTAGAGGGTTATATCATCATCCTACTGTGCAGTTATACATCACACAAGACTAGAGGGTTATATCATCATCCTACTGTGCAGTTATACATCACACAAGACTAGAGGGTTACATCATCACCCTACTGTGCAGTTATACATCATACAAGACTAGAGGATTATACATCACACAAGACTAGAGGGCTATACATCACACAAGACTAGAGGGTTATACATCACACAAGACTAGAGGGTTATACATCACACAAGACTCACAGTTTATACTTCAATTCTGTTCTGTCCTGTGCAACTGTTTCAATAGCATGGGTGGAATCCAATCCAGCACCTCTGGCATCGTTCTTCAACATCTGTCTTTGGGTTTCTTTTGGCCACTGTTTCCTTAATCTGTTTCCTATTTACGTTCCTGACTGGTGTGATTCTCTGTTCACTTCTTCCCTTAATCTGTTTCCTATTTACGTTCCTGACTGGTGTGATTCTCTGTTCACTTCTTCCCAGGATGTGCCTAACATATCACTATTTTTTTTTTACTTACATCTATAGGGTTAGCATGTTGTAAAGAAGGTGTTTTGGGTAACCTTAAAAAAAATGCTCCAAATTAATGTTAACTCACGCCTTTTCTAGCTGGTCTCAGCCCACAAGCCATCCTAACTCCATATGAACAATTATTATCTAACTTTCCTAATGGTTCTAATTCTTTTCCACACTAATTTGTTTTTGACAAGTTTAATGCGTTCTAAATAAAAAGGCATTCACAATGTAAAATGTGACGACCTAAATCAGAATGTTCCGCCAATGACACAAAAGCTCTCAAAAACTTACATTGGAAGTCTGATCCTCTCTAACACATCGAATGGACACACCATATTCTGTATACTCAGGGCCTCGATTCTTCCACGAGCCTCGACATAAACACATTGGCTGCAACAATCTCAAATATATTAACAACAATAACAAAGACACAGTGGCTGCAACAATTTTAAATATATTAACAATAACAACAAAGACACAGTGGCTGCAACAATTTTAAATATATTAACAAGAACAAAGACACAGTAGTTGCAATTATTATTATTATTACCACTGTGCTAAGTCAGGTCATTGCAAACCCTTTCTCCTGCAATAATTATATTTTTCAACCCTCCAAACGCAAAAGACATGTTGGCAGTGCTGATAATAATTTGTACACCTAAAAATATTCATCCTAAGGAGATGAGCTGCTGGCACATATGCAGACAAGTCAGCACATATACAGACAAGTTATATGTACGTATGGCGATGCCAAGAAGACTCGCCTTTACAGAAATTAAACACTAGAAACTATATTTCATTATTAGGGATTGTGAAGAAAAAAACTGTATCCTGTATTTCTTTTGTCTCCACCGGTACTGTATATGTAGTATAAACTCTAGGGAGGATGAAGCACAACCTCCAAATCATCAGAAGGAACACTCTTTAAATGTTTCTGCCCCTTAAACCTTCCAAATAAGAGGACAGTTTCAGAAAATTTGTATTCCCTCTTCTCTACTTCATCTTTGTCTCCACTAGTGTAACATGTTTCGTCATTGCCACTAAGCACATCTGAGCCTCTTCCACCATCCCGCAAACGTGACTGACAAAGCTACTGCCTCCTTAACTGCCCCCACCCTCCCCCCCCTAATATGATCAACTAATTTACGACAACTCCCACTTTAGTCATAATTAATTGCTGTCCTTTTATTATTATTACTGCACATTACTTGGGTCATCCTTTCCTAAAGTTCTAAGAATGAAAAAATACATGAACATACATAAAATTATATTAACTCTTTTAGTACAAGGAAATCTACTTAATTTTCATTTTTAGTTACTTTTTACTTGGTACGTGTTTCTGTATTTTTTTAAACCCATTTCTACGTTAGGTTAACCACTTATATTACCATTGCCCTAATACTGACTTCTGTCCCACAGTTGTATTTTTAATAATTTTATTGACACTAAAAATTGGCTGTTCTGAGCATAGATATTGCTGAATTAAAAACTCCCTGGGACTCAAAGAGTGATGAAGATTTACAGAACTGATTATAACAGAGCAATGTATTGTCTAGGGTGCTAGATACATTTTAAAAATAAGATCAAGAAAGAGGACAAATTCTTCACTTACATAATTTCTTCTTTGCTGAATTAGAAGACGGATGACTTTTTCATTACCATTTACAATGAAATATCCTCCCATTTCCTGGAAAAGACAAAGATTTAAACAGTAACTCTTCAGGTAAGTAAGCAAATATAATGGAGAGAATGGTGAGGGAGTTTAGTTTATGAAAAATGAAGCTTATGTCAGATGCAGAACTCCATGCAGGTGGATAAAAAACTTCATAGTGGCACTGGTTCTGAAAGCTGGCCCATTCCCCTCCTACCAGATACCATGACTTTTGCTATTATTTTTTCCAATCAGCCATGCCACTTGATATGGTCAAATTCATTCAATTTCTGAGACAAATGCTGTTTATTAGCCAATCCTCCTTGAAATTCTGATCTTTTAAAATGTCAGTATTTCTTCTCTTCTTTTTCCATGCAGACTGGGAGATAGTCCACGACTTACATCCCTGCATTACACACTCCATCCGTGTTACTGAAACAACTGTACAGGGTAGAAAGGAACCAAAGAACAAATTGAGAGTTCTATAATGACACAAAAAGATGATGATGATTATTAATAATAATATTACTCTATAATTGTAACTGTTCACATGACTCGTCAATGTGAGAACTGGTGTCTATGATTCTTCTTTTTTGTTGTGGAACTCACTGATAAAGACTGGTAGAAAAGCTTGATTGTTTCTGTGCCCGCTGCCCCCCCCCCCCCACAAAACTTACTAGACAAAGCTTGCATACTGTAAGCTACATTTTGTTTAAAATATATTAGCTTAACTATAGTTTCCCTTATTTTCATACAGGAAGCCTTCTGACTACTTGTCTCTATAGCAATATAGGGTCTCCTCGACTTACAACTAAGTTCCGCTCTAACAGGTCGTTAGTCAAATTTATATTTTTTTAAACTATTTCCAAACAGGCTATTAAAACTGTTCTTAGAACAGAAATCTAAATCTATGCACATACAATTACTGGCCAAAACATAAAAAATTCATAAGACGCACTCTACTGCATCTTTTCCAGGAACCTTTTGATACTACTTATGCGGTTATCTTTCTTCATTAACTATTTTTTTACGGGTGTGTGATCGTAAGTCGCACACACAGTAAGTCAAGGAGAATACATATATGTCTTAGATCTATTGCTTGTTAATTTGGGAACAAACAAATCCACTCACTTCAGGCTCTTCTCCTCTTGCTACAAGTGCTTTTGGCTTTAAGTTGGCAATGTTGCAAGCATCAGACTGTGAAGGCCAGACAAAAGCAAGGTGAAAAATAAGGGTCAACAGAGTATAAGCTAAACTACTATGAACAGTTGCTTCTTGATAAGATTTTTTATTGTACACACTTATCAACCATGTAAGACAAATATCTGATCTAAAAAAAAAACACATTTCTTTGTTACAGCAAACTTAAAAGTAAAGTAGAAGTAAAACACTTATTCACCCTTTCGTCCCTGGGAACAATAAAAAAAATTCATTACTTTACAAAAATTCTATGAAAAAAAATAAGTAAAAATACATTTTTACATAGGTCACTAACAAATTCATTAAAAATTAATTTCTTTACATTTTAAAATTACCTTTTGAAATATATATATGCAAAAGGAGTAATCAATAAACTGGGTGAAACCTGAAGTGAAATACACCATTGGGGCTTAAAAAAACACATGTACTGGATGACTCATGTCATGAACTCCATCGCTAAAGTTCACAAACAAAATATGACATTAACTTGGGTTAAAAAAAAAAGCCATTTAGCACACAGGAAAACCTCCCTAAATGCTACTACAGTAAATGTATTCACATCTCCACCCCTAAATGCTTGCAAACTCAACCAAAAGCCTTAACTATGCTTATCGTGAATTTGGCAGGATAGAAAAGTTGGAAAAGTGACATTCATGGAGGAACTTGTCCCAAACAGAAGTGTTTTTTTCCAGCTTTAAAAGGCAAAAGAGTTAGGGAGAAACTATAATTTATGTTGTGGTCAAAGTCTCTGTTCACTGTGTGCAACATTAATGTCTCAGTAAATCAAACAAGCATGGCTAATTTTAGAAAAGTAGATGATGAAACCAAAATTACAACGCGTGGACTTGTAATAATCTACTCAGTGTGGCCACATGTTGCCTTGCAGTTCCTCCAGGAGAGGACAGTCTTGGATGACATGCTCTGGGAGTATGTTCAACACAACGACACTGGGAGAGAGTGGTCTGGCTTATACCTAATTCATATGAGTGTTTGCTGAAACTGAAGTGTCCAAAAATGATGACTTGGTTGGTTGTTCAGATCAAGATGTTTATAAACCAGGCTTATAAACAATAACAGTAAAAGTATGAAAAAAATATCTTTATAAATAAATAAATATAATTTAGAGTAGGACATACCTTGACCATAATAGGGATCTGCCCTACATTCTTGTCAAGAACCCCAGTCTGCCCATTGCTGCAAGTATATGAGATCAAGACCTGTACATTACCCTGGTAAGTTGCTTGTCTTTCCCACGAAAGAAAATCTAAGAGACTTTCAGTCACACAAACAATTGCAAGAAATATAAACAAAAAGATTTATCAAAAATAATAACAGGAAAGTTCTCACTAGCATGAAATAAAAGTTAAAATTATTGGTATGACCTGATTGCTACAAGGAACTCCTAAATAGACAGGCACCAAAGGATCCCAGTCACAAAAAATAGCAAGAAATATAAAGAGATTTACCCCCCCCCCCCCCCCCAAAAAAAAAAAAAACAGTAATAGGAAAGTTTACACTAACACGAAAGAATACATAAAATTAACAGCATGACCTGATTGCTATAAGAAATTTCTAAATAGACCAGTCCAAAAAGATCACAGATGTCTAGCTTGCAGAAGGATATCAAATGTGTGAAACCACATTAGGAAGAGGCCATAAAAGCTACCAAACTCTTGCAGGACGGGCAAGATTCTTGTCAAAATGTATTCCAGAAAATGCAATTAAAGCCAAAAAACAACATCAACTAAATTACTGTATAATTCTTGTGCATTCTGAAAAACTGAAGAAATCCAAGCAAACTGGAGAGAATACTGCTTGAAGTTGCCAAGGTAAGAAGACCTGCATGAGTGTGAAAAATATACAGGAGCGTTATAATGGCAGCTGATAATGAACAAGGTATAATCTATGTATTGCTAACGGAGCAAGCATCAAGAACACAGAAGAAACCTGACTGATTTTCTTACCTCTGCAGGATAAACCTTGCTGTTGACAGCCAATATGTTTGCTGATGACACTTTTGGTGGGAAAACCAAAATTTTCTGAGGAGAATTAAAGACATTACATTTATAAGAATTCTGAAAGGCCATTACTAACATCCCACAACTGCCATAACTGAAATCTACTTGGATTTAAGATAAGTTTGAACCCAATAAAAACTACTTTTTACATCATGAATCTGCTCACACCTAATCATATCTTCTTCTTCTTTACGTCCTCTTTTACCGCTTCAGGTGTCGAGGGAGATATAAGGTCCTGCTTCATGCTCTTCAGGCTGCTTCCACCATAGACACATTGTGGTGCTGTAGAGTTTCTCTGATGTTATCTTCCCATCTTGTTCTTGGTCTGCTTCTTGCTAATCAGATAATTTTACCAAATATAGCTGCTGCGGAATGTAGCAGCTGGTACTCGCCTGGAGTTATGAGTTCAGAAAAATAAGACCTTGGTTCCCATGCTGACCCAACTAAAACTAAAAATGTTCAACAGGTAAGACCAGAGGAAGTAAAAGTGGCTGGCATAATAATGACCACATCTCCTATCAAGTGCCAATTTGTGTATACAAATATGAAGCTAGCATAAAATGCAGGAAGTGTTACTGGACTAAGAGAGTCCTTGGGCCACTGGCTTGAAGGAAGTACTTGTGCCACTGGCCTAAAGAGAGCCCTAGTGCCACTGGCCTAAAGAGAGCCCTAGTGCCACTGGACTGAAGAGAGTTCTTGTTCCACCGAACTGAAGAGAGTCCTAGTGCCACTGGACTGAAGAGAGTACTAGTGCCACCAGACTGAAGAGTTCTTGTTCCACTGAACTGAAGAGAGTACTAGTGCCACCAGACTGAAGAGTTCTTGTTCCACCGAACTGAAGAGTCCTTGTGCCACTGGACTGAAGAGTCCTAGTGCCACTAGACTGAAGAGAGTCCTTGTTCCAATGAACTAAAGAGAGTCCTAGTGCCACTGGACTGAAGAGAGTCCTTGTTCCAATGAACTAAAGAGAGTCCTAGTGCCACTTGACTGAAGAGAGTCCTTGTTCCAATGAACTAAAGAGAGTCCTAGTGCCAACTTGACTGAAGAGAGTCCTTGTTCCAATGAACTAAAGAGAGTCCTAGTGCCAACTTGACTGAAGAGTCCTTGTGCCACTGGCCTGTTTAGCCAGTAGGCCATATTTAGGGATCCGGGCAAAAGCCAGAGTGGGGCTTCAAAATAACTAAAAATTGCATCCTACACGGGACGACAGTAAACAGAGCAAACAGTGTGGTTCTTTTCAGCTTGTTCACAGTACTAGAGAAACAGTATCAGTTAAAATTTGTACTAGAAACCCTTGTTATAGCAAGCAAACATGGATATTATGTACATAACACATAAACTTACGGTAATTTTGAGAGAAAAACGAAGTTTGTTTTGTTGATCTTCCTCGCCAATTTGGAATTCTACTGGATCCATATGCTAAAAGGAAAAAAAAAAAACACTTAATGAAAGTATACTTAATTTATAAGGGTGTGAGTCCGTTCAAGGGACATAACAGATGTCATATCTGGGTTTAAGCAACTAATGACACCTGTACTTTGAACACTGCTTAGCAAGATAATAAAGTTACCTAATATGTTAAATGGAAACTAAAATAATAAAGTAACTAACCTTAACAACTTTCTGAAGACCAGTCTGCAAGAAGTAGTTAAATGAATCCACGTGTGCTCTTGTTACATCCTGAAGCAACTGAAAGAAATAAACATAGGCCTGATGTGCTGAATGAGAGGAGGAAATGACATACACACCAAGATGGTGGATGTTGCTTTCATTTTTAACAACCTTAATTTACAAAAACAACATTATCACATCTTTCAAGCTAACTATATACACAGCAGGAGACGCCCAATACTGTGGTGCAAGTACACAGATGTCGAAATAGATGGTTCGGTCTGGTAAGAGTCCTTTTAATGACTATTCTTCGATAATACTATCAGATCACTGATTTCTACAAAACAGTAGCACTACCTATAGCACTATTTGCAAGTTACGACAGCTACTGCAGCCACTACCGCCAGACCTAGGGAATAGTCACCACACTTTTTAGACTACGTACGAATACGTGCAAAATGATAGAGGATATCAAGAAGAAATCCAAGAAAAAGCTATAGCTACCGAATGAGATTATGGTGGTGACCACCTTGTACCACACTACATGGAGGTGGGTTGTGAAGTGAATCCAGATACAACTAACTGACAAGGAAATACATGACTAAACACTGAAATAAAATCAAAAATTACTCATCCTCAAGGTGGAGCAACTGGGATCCAGACACAACCCTATGGCAGTGGAGTGGTGACAACCACGTGAGTGGCGAGGGGGATACTCTCGGCAGTTGCGGAAGTCGCCGAAAGTTCGCAATTCGGTGGTGGTGTTGTAATCCACGGAAGTGCACAATTGACACGTGATTGAGGCCCTGTTAGGGTATATTTTCCGTCTCGATAATTTAGGACCGTTATTCGGAGGATAGCCAAGATTCCTTGTTACTCTACTCTACTTCTCTAGACTTTTCTCTCTCTTCTTTTACCCCACCAGGACATCACACAAGTAATAATAAACACCTGATGACACAAAGTGCCACCATGCGGATGAGGATCACCCGTGGAGAAGTCCCAGAAACCGTGTTCAGCCATTAGACCATATGGCTCTCCTCCGAACGGCGTCCTAATATTATCGCGGCCATAAAATATCCTTACGGGGCTGTTCTATTAAAAATATGCCGGCTCTGTATAACGAAACAAATGCTCTAACAGGGTCTCAGCGATATGTTACCTGCAGACCTGTTTCTGTGACTCACCACCGACCGTATCCCCCGTGCCGCTACGCATGGATGTGGGCTAAACTAGATGGCTGGGACTCACGAGCACTCGAGCAGCAGCTACCGCATCTCCTGCAACTTCCTCCAATTAATTTGCTCGTGAGTCCCAGGCACCTAGTTTAGCCTCCCATCCGGGCCGCGCGTGGGATACGCTCAGCGGTGAGTTTAATCGTGTTTTGCGCATGCTGACAAGTGTGAGGATACAGGTCAGCAGGTCTGACATCTACCGCTGCTAAATCCTCAATTGGAAGAACAGTATTGCTAATCTGTGTGGGAGCGCATGGTCTACCCGCCATATCGCTTTCATCATCTGTACTTGATCGAAATTGTCAATGGTCGCTATTATCGTCTGCAGAAATGCTCAAAATTGTCAACGGTCGCTTTTATCATCTGCTACTAGTACTATCGTCTGCAATGTTGCGTCTCTTGAAATTGTCAAGTAATCCTAGTTTTGCCGTGATTTGTTCCTTGGCAGACAGTCCGCATTTTACATATGTCTGCGCCTTGTAAGGATATTTTATGGCCGTGATTTCATTAGGACGCCGTTCGGAGGAGAGCCGACCTTATTTAAGGCCGGGCTATTTTGCGGCCCCTGGCAAGAGCCAGAGTAGAGGACTTCAAATAACGAAAAATTGCATCCCACAAGGGAATGACAGAATATAACTACTCTAGACTTGAGTACTGTCTACTTTTACTGTAGGACTTTGGTCAGGAAAATCAGCATACTGAAAAATTAATAATTAATTTGAAATATATATATATATATATATATATATATATATATATATATATATATATATATATATATATAATATTTAAGTTTAAGCAACACAACAATAAATATTTTTCAAATATTTTATTTACCGAATGTTGTGCTTCTTTTGGTACCCCGAAGTTGGGGGAAGTGAGCTGTTTCGAACCAATCATACTGTCTGCAAATAAATACCGTGTTCCACCTTTCTGTAAACAAAAAACTATTTACTAACTAAACCATGTGTTTTCCTTGGAGCACTCGCCTGCTAGTTTCTTCTAGCCAGATACTTTCAGCAGACACAACGTCCGAGCTAATATAAGTGCGAATACATTTTGTTAGCATATACTCATCAGATATTATAAAAAATGGTAAGCATCGCTTATAAATACTATTATTCACTTTTTAAAAAAATGTTTTTTGTGAGGAATCTGGAATTTACAGTGAATCGTTTATTATTAATACTTTTAAAGAATCTTAACTGGCAAATGTTAACGGAAATGAAATCATGAAACCGAAACAAAAAAGAAAGGGGGTTTCCCGTAAAATAATCCGGGTAACAAGGGAGATTATCCTTTTGTGTTGACAAGTTGTTGGCTTCCGCTGTTGTGTTGTCTTCTGAATGTCAGGGAGTATTTCCTTTTGAAATTGACGAATAATGTTAGCAGGCAGCCACTGAAAAAT